GACAATCAAGCTAAACAATAAAATGGAGATGGCCCACGGTTCAGATATCCCTTCAAATGTAACGGACGCGATTCTCACTCAGTCTGCTGAGTATGCGTCGGGCATCGGCCGCATCCTATCCCCTAAGAGGGTCTGCACGTACATTCCCTGAGGAATACAATACAGTCCGCCCCAAGCGGCTAGGCTCCTTGCGGGCCGAGGCCTCTCCAGGCAACGGAGATCGAATAGACGAAGATGAGATGTAGACAGCCAGCGTATACTCCGAACCCCATATACACCATAAATAATGAATTGCTTAATTCTGGCTAGCAAGCAGACGGCATGTTGGACGATTTATTCCCGCCATTCTCATTGTTTGGATTGTTGAGATGCGGCAGCCGGGGCATCAGGGACCTGAACATCGGAGAACTCATCTTGACCAACGGCGCGAATGGTGTATGCATCTGGTTGAAACCATTGATTAGCAAATCTACCAGAACTCGAAGTAGTCTGATAAAGCTCCACCCTGGGCAATTGCGAAACGTACAAACTCCGATGGTAAAGATACAAAGGCCTAAGCCAGTCGCAGCATTCTTGAAAAGATATGGCCGGCGGGCACGGAGAAGAGCGGCGCCGGCACGGGAGTCTCTACCGTAGTATGTGGAGTTGAAGCTGGATAGACTTCGTCAGTTTTGGCTCTTTCGGGTTTCGGAAGAGAGCGGCGGATGGCAGAGGGGCAAAGACAAGACACAAAGGCCTGAGTGAGATATGAGGATGGGAGACATACATTCCAACAGGCATTGTGAGAATCGGAGAGCGATTTGCGATATGTTTGAAAGGCTGGGACTGAGGATGCGATGCGTTTGGCTGTCGGGGAGCACGTCGAGAAAGTGTTGCAGCCGACGGAGGAATCGAATGATGCGCGGGCCGGTCTTGGCTTTTTGACGTTCTGGAAGTCTGGACTCTCGCCAGGCACAACCCACAGGCACCGGCAAGAATTGGGTGGCAGTCAAGTAAATCTAATATAGCATGCAGCAATATCAATAGAATCGATATCGCCTAGCGTTTATTCCCCTCTGTCTTCTACTTGAACTATCGTCTACAATTGGGCACGGTATACTTGCAAGTCACGTGGTCTGTACCTGGAATCAAAGACTCGATCAACAGTGAAAAGCTCAGTCACTTGTGACAATCTTAGTGTGTGCCTTTGCTCAAAGCCGAGTTGAAAGCCACCTTCGATCAGCCATCGATCAGCCATCGCCAATCACCAGCCAGGCTGCTTTGTTGTGAAGTTGTACCAGGCGGAGCGGGCAAACTCTCCTCCGGGCTCCTGCAGAGAATCCCGTCATCCATCAACAGCTCCGGCGTCAACTGAGACCTTTCATTATCCCTTCCATTGTTCCCCCATCGTCTCCGCCACGAGTCTGCCGTTTTCCTCCCGCATCGGATCGTCTCTCGAGGTCTCGAGTCAAACCTCGCCCCGGTTGATTGATCATCCTGTCATTTCCCCCTAACGCAAGCTACTCGTCGGCGATCATAGTTGTCGCGCGCGTGTCTTGAGCGCACATCTATTGCTTGCTTCTTACTGTTGACTCCCCCTAAACTACAGCGCAACGTAGACAGAGCCCATATTACCCCATATCGTCCACCCATTACATACGTGCCTTCCGCCGGTAAACTGGTTCTTATTTCGCTCGCACGGAGCCGCCATGGCTCAGTCGGGAGACCAGGTCGTCGACCAGATCGCGCAGCTAAATGCTGCTCGTAATCTTGTCCTAGGGGACGCCGCTTTTTACCCTCAGATCGTGAACGGAGTCCTCCCAATTATCGGTGCACACGCGCGAGTGGAATTACGACGATGGGGAACCGAGTTCCTGGCCGAGACGTTTGCTAGTCCCGCGTTCGCTGCGGCACAGAAGGAACAGTTGGCTACAAATGTGTTGCAGACAGTGCGGAGTATATTGGAATTACCAGAAGGGGATCAATTGGTCTTGAAGAATATAGCCCAGACCGCTGCCAGTTTATATCCGCTGGTTTTTAGGCATATGTAGGTGACCAATGCTTGTTTTATTCACTCCCAAATGGCCACCTCACGTAGATGCTGGCTATCAAGCCCCACGAGCTGCCCACACATGCTGTCAGTGAGTACCACGGCCACTAATTCTTGACATGATTATAGTATCAACCACCCCGAAGACAAGCAATCATGGGAACACATCGAAGCTATCAAGCAGGATCTTCTACGGAGGTGGGACTCGTTTTCATACCCCGTCAAAGTATGCTGCATCAAATTCGCCCAGCGAGTTGTCTTAGTACAGACGCACGGCTTAATAGCTGATCCAAGGGTATGTATGCACCACTTGGGCTCTTCAATGACCCGACCAAGTTGTGCACAGCTAACAATTTGCGCAGCGACCTGAACAAAATGAGACGTCCTTAGCCATTGTTCCTCGAAACCACCCCATACTATCTCTACCCAATCTCGAAGCAGAAGCCTCAGGGCTGCTAGACAGGATTTTGACCGTCTTTCAAGAGGATGCAAGGTAGGTTCCGTCTACGGTCGTTTTCATAACCTATCCTAATACGATTTGGCTTTTCTTAGTGATCCTATCCTCGTGAATGCAACATTGAACTGCCTCGCTGCCCTCGCCCGAACTCGACAGTCCATTGGGAACAAGATCGTAAATGCTATTCTCGGTTTCTTTCCCGCACGGCACACACGCTCGCCGGTGACGCCTACCGTACGAGTCGGTGTCAAATCTATGGAACGGACGGCTCGAGCTGTACTTATAAACATTATCAAGAGGTAAAGGTCACCAGTATAAAAGCCCCAGTGATTAGTATTAAAAAAGCTCTCCAGGAACCCTAGTCACCCTCTCGCAAGCAAGATGCAGCAACATATTGAACGACTGATGCAATCTCGCATGGAGCCCGTTGATGATGCATCGCGCAAGCGAGGACTACCAACTGAGCCGACAGACGGCCTGGATGCTGCTAAACGAGCGAGACTGGATGCGGAAACGCCTCCTCTTATTAAAGTACCGCCACTTCCGCCAGGTAGAGTAAGCTTTGCGCAGCTTTTCACTCTAACTGAGGACTCTGGCCTATCCTCGTTCGATGTAAAACAACTACCAGCAGACCTCTTAGTCAAAATCGTTGTCCCTCTACTAGCGCGTGTTGATCAGTCACCACTAAATCAAGCGGTTGATGTATGTTCTGAGCGATCAATATACTACTATTAAAAGCTTTCACTGACTTTGTTATAGGCTATACGGGTGCGATACCAGACGGTCCTTAAACAACAAATGACACAGCCGCAACCTACTGCTGAGGATGATGATGATGATTACGAGCCCGAATATGATCCTATGGACATCCCCACGTCAACTGTGGACCAGCCCGGTGCACTGTCGGCTGATCTACCAGCGGAACAGCCCGACCTTGTTTCTCTCGGACCGTTTGTCTTGCCACGCCCTCCTCCATTAAGTGAGGAACAAGCAGCAGAAGCCGGTCGGGGTGCCGTATCCCGAGTTTTTGGCATGCTTGGGTCAACCACATTAGCTCCAAACGTCGTGAAGGGCCAAGGCCAACAACTTGGTTTCTCCAGGTTAGCAGGCAGTACGTTCGACCGTGATGCCTGGGTTACATTACTCACCCGGCTTGCAACTCGAGCTCCGGCTGGGTTAGAGGGACCGAAACAGGAAACAGATGGTTCGAGTAGAAAGAAACCTACGATTTCGGATACAATACGAGAAACTCTCTACCGCTATATACTTGAAGACTTTAGGGGGCGAGTGAATGTTGGTATCATGTGGCTCAACGAGGAATGGTACAACGACCGTCTTCAAATGAAGGCTGCTTCCTCTAATAGAGCAGACGAGGACGAAGAGGTTTCGGTGCAGCTGCATTATGACCACTGGGTATTACGGCTGCTGGACGGCTTTTTGCCTTACCTGGATTCTCGGGATATCAAAATCTTCATCCGGTTTCTAAGTGAAATTCCAGAAGTGACGATCCCAATCGCCAAACGCATAGCCAGCCTTGCGAAGGATCCTGAGCGAGTGAACCTTTGCGTCCAATCCTTCATGTACGGCTGGCCCACATTATTTCAGTTCCCGAGTCCATTAAACTGACAATTGTTAGGTACTTGATCATGTTCCGCCCTCCGGCGCGGGAAATATGTCTCGACGCCTTGGAAGAAGTCTATCAGAACTGTAAGCCCCTTTTTTTGCATCTTCCCCAATACTTTCCCTCTCAGCTGCTGAATTGCTCTCTAGACGAGGAGTCACGTCCATCTGCTGGGAAAGTCTTATCCAGGTGGCGGCCACAACGAATTGAGCAGCTGCAAGCGGAACAGACAACCTTGGTGAACCGTACCGTTGAACAGCAACCGCCAAATACATCAACGGCAAATGGCACGAAAGATCCAAGAACCGCCCATCTAAGTGGATCCCAATCATCATCCGATGTCACAGTCTCCTAATCGTTAGAATTCGGTTCTTTGTCTGTTTAAATTGAGCGTTTTGACACATTGCATGGAATAGTCTACGTTGAACGATTCCCCGGTCTTCACATTGGTGAGGATCAATCTTTCGTCTTTTAACCGATACACGCCGTCTTTGGTCCGGTATCTTACTTTTGCAATCATTACATTACTTTAACTCGAGCCTAGGGCAAGCTAGTCGTTTGCCTCTTAACGAGCTCAACATGTATTATCAAGTACTTACGATATGACTGGCTCTCGGGCGAACACGAATGTACTCCCTGCAGGAGATAAATCAAGCCGAGTGCGCTAGAATTTCTTCAAAGGCTTTGGAATGACTTATGTGTGTAGCAATTCTCAAATTATGGAACCTCCCGTGGTCATCTCTTGCGATCTAGAACTGCGCGTTGCGAGCAGCAACTTATCACCCTCTAAATCCCCCGAGCTGGGGACCAGACTACGTGCCATAGCACAACTCAAGGCTGGCTAAACTCTTACCGTCATATAAAGCATTTTATATAGATGTCTATTTATTTCTCTATCCCAGCCATGCCCGTATCGATCCCCTGAATGTTAGGGCAAGCCAATTAATATGTATATTTGAAACCGACCTGTGCCAGAAACCGTAAGCATAATATCCAAGACATAATCCAGAGGATAAAGCAGCCCCTACGGTATTCTGAAGCACGGCGCCATGCTTCTGGCGAGTATTGCTGAGATAAAAACCCACCATAAACATCCCCACAATCACAATCATAAGGATATGCGATCTAAGCAGCAGCAGCAACCACAGCAACCACAGCACGCCAAAGTTAGACAGAGACACAATGTAATATTCGATATTGGTTAAAGAAGGAAGAAGCAACGTACCCAATCGAAACCCACACTGCAGTCTGGTACCCCGGCGCCTCCTGCTGTCTCACGATATAGCTGCCCGCAATGGAGCCCAGCCCGTTGCAAGCAGCAACTGCAGCGGCGGTCGTAGCGCGCTTCCATTGGCCGACGACATTGTTCGCCATGAAGGCGTTGAGGGCCGCCCAGTTAGACACGTATGCACCTGTGGCTAGAAAGGTGCCGATGTAGCGTACTGTTACCTGGGTTGAGATGGGGAGCCCGAACATTAGGTACCCTGCTATAAGGCACAGGGCGTTGAATGTGATGAGGGGCCCGCGGATGAGGTAGGTGTCGCCGAGGAGAGAGGTGAAGAGGACTGGAATGATGGACCAGTAGTATGGCTGGATGTTGGGGTTAGTGTCATTGATTCTTGCTTTAGGGGGGAGGGACTTAGGATTTGTTACCGGGGTTGAGAGGAGAATGGACTCATTACTAGAAAACCCCATTCCGGATTGAAGGATCTGAGGGAGAAAGTAGTTTAGAGCGGTTGAGACAATATTGAGCAGGAAGTACAAGCAAGCGAAGCCGTATAGTTTCGGATCCGTAAAGTTAACGAGGACCTTGCGCCATTCGAAAGGATCGGGGACGACGTCACCACGATCAGCCTGAATACGTTGGACGGCGTGTTCCGCCTCCGCCTCTGTCAGAAAGTAGAAGCTTCTACGCGCGTTCTCAGGGAAGTCGACTATCCACCAATACGTTATGATTCCGATAACGCAGGTGATCAGACCTTGGACCAGGTACATCCAACGCCAGCCCTCTAACCCAGCTTTGCCGTGGAGTTAATTCAGTCCATAGTTCACGATATAGCCCGTTGCGAGCGCAGCGACTTCTCCAGACTGCAGGAAAGCAAAGCGGAGTTGCTGTTCCTGCCTGGTGTACCATGTGCTGACGAGGTACGTCAAACCGGGATAGATCCCTGACATGCAAATGCCTAGGAGTATACGGGCGGCGATCATCTGGCGCCAGGTTTGGACGAACGCTGAGCATAGGGTGACCAATCCGAAGCAGAACGTGATAGCGGCAAACCAGATCCGTGGGCCGACCCATCGCACAGCGACGGTGCAAGGGAGCTGGAAGACGACGCTGGCGACGGTGAAGATGAATATTGACACCGAGTACCGTTGGCCCTGTAGGTCGAGATCATCCAGCAACGTCGTGACTGACGCGGATGCGAGAATCCCCGAGTCCAGCAGGTTGAGACTGCACAGGATCCCGGCGATGGAGCAGAGCCGTAGGTCGGTTTTTCGGCGGATTCTCGACTCGAGATGCTCCCATTCCGTGGGAATCGATGACCCTTCATCATTATTATGCTCGGGTGTTCCTGTTTCCCCAAAGTCAACTGTCTGATCGGCGACGGAGGCAGTCTTCACAGATGTCAATTGCTGGCGATGGTTGTGCACCATTTTGTGTGCAGCGAAGTGAGAGGAAGAAGAGCGAAGAAGGAAAAGGGAAAGTGAAGCTGGAGAGGGGCTGAGGCTGCAGAAACCAGTGTAACTCCATCACGACATGGAAGATAAGCATGAGGATGGCTTCACTTGTGCCTTTTGTGCAAGCTGCCTGAAAATACAACTATCTTTCGCTTTTAATACTTGCTATTTGATGATTCCAAGAGATTGCTAGCATATATGATATATTTCACATTGCTGTCTCTCACTCCGGAGCATTGCACAAGGGTTGATCTTTTCTCTCCAGCACATGCTCTCGCATATCTTAGCATTTAGATTCTGGAGATTCGTGCCATTTGAGGTTCTACCAAGCTCTTGAGATTTGAAACTGCAGCAATTAGGGCCGAGTCATTAAAGCCTCATGGATGGTCAGTGCAGCCCTGGGCAGCTCCGCCTCAATCGGTGCCTGTTTGTTGCTTATTCAAAACCAACCATGGTTCACTATTTCCCGGCTCGACTGTCTGCTTACTCTCTATATTGCTTACTGGCTAGCGCAGGCTCGGAATGAGGCTGTGTCCGGTCGCGACACCACGATCCATGGATAAATAAAGATCGTCGCTCTGATAAATCCGGGCGCTTCTATCCAAGTGAAATTGAAATGCAGGCAGCTCTTCCGACTTCTCCGACCTCCTCCACATGGAAGATCCCGAGCCAATCGAAAAAAAAAACCAGATGGAGCTTCCTGATTATCCATAGCTCGTGGCTTGTCATTCCCTTGATACGGATTCGCCGTCTGGTGATGGCCTCAGAAAGCGCTGCCCAGTTCGCGCCTGGTCATTCTGTTTGATTGGGCTATCCACCCTCAAATGTACCTGGGGGTTTCCTGTTTCCATTTCCGAGGCAGAAGTAAGTCAGACTAGACGAGGCTCCCTTGTCGCCTTGTCTAAAGGCCATGTTTGCCCAGGAACTAGAGACCATTTGGCCCCCCAATCTGAGCGGGCCGGGCGACAGCCTTGACGGCCCCTTGACGCACAAGGCAGAAATGTATCCTACGGTGTAGTCTAATGACAAATGGGGCCTATCGGTTAGTGTAAGATACGCAGGATTCTGGTGGATGCGCCGTTCAAACTCCCTGGGGCTGTGATGTTAGCTTGGTGGTTCTTTGTATATAAGCGCTTAATATTCTGTCGTTCCCGAGCAGGAAACATGATGTACTCACCCAAATACATCAGTACGGGTCCTTATTATGGCCCTTCACACAATTCCCAGGAATAGTCGGCCAGCATGAAGTGTCTCTGCAGCTTTGCAGCCCTTCTAGCACTTTATGTGCCCCCGTCAGGCGCGGCAGGTAGACATACCCAAAGGAAATGAGTTTTTGATTGCACTCGCTTATGTGGATATCGATAGGTTTTTTCGGAGAGTCTTCTTTTCGCCTATCTCATCCTGTTATAAACACCCCGTCCCATACGATCGCAGGGCGTTCAGCGTTTAACATAACTGCCGAATTTGACGGATACGACCAGCAGGTAGCATTTGTATTGGAGCCGAACCGGGGCCTCATCACGCAAGAAACACGAATCCGCTATTTAGACAGCGGCCAAAATATCGAGGATGCAGAGCCGATCCCAGAACAGTCGTACGATGTCACTAAAGGCGCGGTATGGACAAAGCTGCCTGGCCAGCCTTGGAACGAGGTTGGATGGGCGAGGTTAATGGTCACTCGAGAAGGACCGTCCCCATTGTTTGAAGGCACATTCACAATATCAGACGAAGTATTTGAGATCCAAACGCAGGATGCTGGCTCATCCGGTACTGCTAAGGGTGGAGAACTCAAAGTCTATCCAGCTTCGGCCATAGACTCGACAGACTCGGCAGGGCTTGCTTCGAACGGAACCGGATGTATGACTGCCCCAGGGTCGGTTTTTCACAAACGACAGACTTCGTCGAGTGAAACCACATCGGGATTTGGGAGCTCGTCCGACTGCTTCGATACGGAACGGGTTGCGTATATTGGGATTGCAATCGACTGCTCGTACAGGAATTCGTTCGACTCTGATGCGGATGCGAGGCGTAATGTCATTAATGTTGTAAACACGGCATCCGTTGTCTTTGAAAGCAGCTTCAACATAGCCCTGGCAATTCAAGATATGGTGATGAGCGAGTCGGAATGTTCAAACAGCACGCCTGCCGCGCATCAATGGAATATGCCCTGCTCGACAGGCGATTTGAGCTCGCGGCTGAATAAATTCGGTGATTGGAGGAGTACCGTTCAGGATACCAATGCTTTCTGGACGCTTATGACAGGTTGCGTGCCTCCAGCTGGCGAAGTAGGCGAATCTTGGGTGGGACAAGTATGCAAGACACAGTATGATCCGTTCGGGTCCGGAACTGGGGCCAATGTCGTTGCTCATTCCAAAACTGAATGGCAGGTGTTCGCGTGAGTCTTGTCTTCTCTCTTTCGTCTCAATCAAATGCTATTGACATCCGTTGCTAACTTGGCTATGGCTAGTCACGAGTCCGCCCACATGTTCGGTGCAAATCATGACTGCAGTTCTGACAGTTGCTCCTCTAACCAGGATCCATCTGAGGATTGCTGCCCGTTGTCATCGTCCGTATGCGATGCCAAAGAGGAATACCTAATGAATCCGATTGCCCACAAAAGAATAACAGGCTTCTCGGCATGCACAGTGGGAAGCATCTGCTCTAAGATAAGCCAGGCCGCCATCGACACGCAATGCCTCGTTACCCCCAAGGAAGTAGAGGAGCTGGGAGGTAAGGTGAATCTCCCAGACGGTCAATGTGGTAATGGGATTGTTGAGACTGGCGAGGCGTGCGACTGCGGAGGGGACTCATGCGATGAGTCTGGGGCGCGCTGCTGCGACCCAACGACTTGCCAGTGGAAGGATGAAGATTCCTGCTCTTTATCGCAGCATGGAAGTGGCAATTCGTCATGGATAGATAACCATAAGTCGTTGTTCATCGGCTTGGTCGCTGGTCTGGGGAGCCTGGTTCTTTTGGTGGCGCTCGGCATCTTTGCTTTTGTCCTCCGCAAACGACGCAAACAAAGACTCAAAGAAGCTGCGGTGCAATAATGAATTTATGAATAATGACTTTGTGTATGATAATGATACCCGTTGGCTGATCAAATAGTGAATCTCATTTGCTGTCGTCAACTAGGAGGGCGTGCATTCTTAGCCTCACTTGGGAGATGGACTCATGCAACTTGGACTTAGCATCTTACACTCGACTCCTTCACTATTATTCAAGGCTCAAAGCTCACATCTCGGAAAAGCTTCCATAGAGGTTATTGTTGTCCAACCCGGGGGCATCATTTGCCGATGCTATCGATAGTGGATCTGGATCTCGACCCCGCAGCCTCTCGCCCGCCCGCTTTTCTTCGGACGAAGGGAGTGACAGAGACAGCCATGAACCCTGTGAGTTCCAGGACTCTGCATAAGTTGGTGCCACGGCGGCCCTGTCTCGAATCATGGGGTCTCCCTCGTCTTTGCCTTGACCACTTTCGCCGGGGCTGCTTGCTATTTATCCCCTTGATCTGCTTTTCGCTGCAGACTCACCGCCATTGACAGTCCTGAAGCAATTCCTGCACGGCTTATCTATCGTCTGACCAGACCATATTTAAAACTACGCAGTCTGTCCGTACAACGGGCAGCAACCATACGAAGCCCGTTATAATGGTTGAATTTATTCCTCCCCCGGACCCTCGCGCTCTACTACCCCCGCTACTCGCCTGCCTTCCAACGGCGTTTGTCTCCCCGCAACCCCCACCAGCTCTACTTCCGCTGCTCGCACCAATTCTGCGCCAGAGAGTCCAGATCCTTAGTTCGGTGAACGCATCGCCAACAGAATCATGGCTCCGTCTACTGTGCTGGGACTCTGGAAAGGCAGAGCGACTTCAGTCGTTGATCGATGGCGCCAACTTTGAGCCTCATCCGGTGTCGGGGGAGATCGACTTGCCCGACGCTATCCCGGTGACCTACAGACGTGTGGACGAGGAAACTCTCCAATCTCGTGTCCTTGTCACGGATTATGAGCTGAAGGTTGTGTATCTATGGTGCCCGAAGGAGGCTGAGCCAGGCTGGCGGATTGTGGAAGTGCTTCCTCATGAGGGGTTGGGAGAAGATGATAATGCCTGGTCCATTTCTGTCGGAGATGCAAATGCGCGAGAGAAGGAAAAGCTGGTGGAAGATGCTTTAAAGGCAGCGGAGAACAATGAAAGGGCAGCACCAGCACAGGAAGAAGAGGACGATGACGATGACTACTGGGCTCGATACGATGCTACACCCGGACGCACACCTTCAGCGAAGAACGCACCCCCAGCGGCATTGACATCTGCGCTGCAACAGCAGGGCCCGGGCCCGTCAGAGTCTTCTTACTTCTCCCGATATGCGGATGTGCAACCCGCATTGGACAGCCATGACCCGGACGAAGAGCACCCGGAGCTTGGGCCAACTTCGCTCGGCGGAGATATACTTGCGGAGCTTGCCAACCGGAACACGGAAAATGGGGAGTCGGCATCTTACGAACATACAAGCCAGTCGAACGGAATGCCGTTGAGCCATCCCCGACCGGAATCTGCGTCGTCTTCCAACTCCGTATCAAAACTTGAGCAAGAAGCAGAAAGCCAGTCGACATACGAGATAGGCGTGAAGCAGCACATCAGTTCAAACATCAAGAGCTTATTCCGCCTCGCTAAAGCGACCGGCGTATCCAGAGCTGACTTTCAATCGTTGGTTCAAACGGAGCTGGATCTCTTGAACTTGTCTGACGATGACTGATTTGGAACGCCCCTCCCGAGACACGATTTGTTACTGTATATTTGTGAACCTTTCAGATTGGTACTATCATATTCCCGCATTACTGGAGCATTTGGAGCATTGAGCCGCATTCGAATATCCGACATATCTTGGTCATCGCTTTCATGTTCTGCCATCAATTTACAATTGGCGTAGTCCAGGTAGAGCATATTATTTCCAGATGAAATTGAAACATACAAATTTGAGCCTTTTTTTTTTTTTTTTTTTTTTTTTTTTTTTTTTTTTTTTTTTTTTTTTTTATCCACCTCGTCCCTGAGCANTTATTTTTTTTTTTTTTTAAAAAAAAAAGCAGTAACCTAGCCCGGAAGCCCCTGAGTTTTGGGAATTACGTAGTCAGAAGCTTCACTTGAAGCTCACCTGTTTGGCCCCGAACTCAAAGGGGCCTTTACTTGTTCCGTTCCGGGTCCGCGCTGAAGACACGCAATCCAGACCATTGCCAGCCCCAAGACCACCGCAATTCGATTATGCCGGTTTCTTAAACTATTTTGTAGCTTATATTTTGAACTGTGAGCTTGTCCTTCCCCAAAACCTCCGCGCTGTCCTCGGCCGCTGCTAACTCCCTGCTGTCGCAGTTCTATTCGTACTTTCCTTGATCCCTGTTGTTTTGGCTTGGTGATTATGTCTTCCTCGCCCTCTCTTCGGAAGAGGGGCGGCAAGAAGGAGGACTCTCCAGCGCCCTTCGACCGTTCTTCCGCTCCTTCGTCCTCTCAATTGAGAGCAGCTCCGCCTCGCTCGTCAGAATGGGACTATCGGCTGGCCATTACCATTCTGACCGTGCTGGCTTTCATCACTCGATTCTACAAGATTTCCTACCCCGACCAGGTTGTTTTTGACGAAGTGCATTTTGGAAAGGTATTTACACCTGTGCACTTGCAGAGGAGCGGGATATGTAACTGACATGCTGGCCTGCTCATTAGTTCGCTTCCTACTATCTACGACGGACCTACTTTTTCGACGTTCACCCCCCGTTCGCCAAACTCCTGCTCGCATTCACAGGGTGGTTGGTCGGTTATGACGGCCACTATCTATTCGAAAACATTGGTGAATCGTACATCGAAAACAAGGTTCCCTATGTCGCCCTCCGCGCCATGCCCGCCATTCTGGGCGCCCTCACAATCCCCGTGGTGTTTCTGATTATGTGGGAGTCTGGATACTCGCTTCCAGCCTGCGTCCTAGCTTCGGGCCTTGTCCTGTTTGACAATGCCCATATCGGTGAAGACCGACTGATCTTATTAGACTCCACTCTAGTCATCACCATGGCTCTGAGTATCTTGTGCTACGTTCGGTTCTACAAACTGCGCCATGAGGCCTTCGGACGGAAATGGTGGAAGTGGCTTCTCTTGACTGGTGTCTCGCTGAGCTGCGTTATTTCTACCAAGTACGTTGGTGTCTTCACTTTTGTCACCATTGGTGCAGCTGTGTTGGTTGACCTGTGGAACTTGCTGGACATCCGACGACCCGGCGGCGCTCTTAGCATGATCGAATGGAGCAAGCACTTTGCAGCCCGCTTCGTCTCCCTCATCGTTATTCCATTCTTCTTCTATCTGTTCTGGTTCCAGGTTCACTTCGCCATTCTGACACACTCTGGCCCTGGCGATGATTTCATGACACCTGCTTTCCAGGAAACGCTGAGTGACAATGCCATGTCTGCGCAATCTGTTAGTATTGAATACTTCGACACGATTTCCATGCGACACAAAGATACGAAGGTCTTCTTACACAGTCATCCGGACACATACCCACTGCGTTACGACGATGGACGTATCTCCAGCCAGGGCCAGCAAGTGACCGGGTACCCTTACAATGATACCAATAACCACTGGCAAATCATCCCCACTGTTCCGTTGGATGCAAGTGACGAGAAGAGTAAGAAGGTACGCAATGGCGATGTTGTCCAGCTCCGCCACGTGGCTACCGATACCATTCTCCTTACTCACGACGTCGCATCGCCTTATTACCCTACGAACCAAGAGTTCACCACCGTCTCTCACGAGCTCGCCGATGACAAGAGACATAACGACACACTCTTCGAAATCAAAGTTGAACATGGCAAATCTAAACAGGAATTCCGGACGCTTTCCAGCCAATTTAAATTGGTCCATGTGCCAACCAAGGTCGCTATGTGGACTCACACGTCACCGTTACCTGATTGGGCTTTCAAGCAGGCCGAAATCAACGGCAATAAGAATGTTCTTCAAGGCAGCAACATCTGGTTTGTGGAGGCTGTTGAGTCCTTGGAAGAGGATAGTCCGCGCCGCAATAAGGAAGAGCGCAAGGTTAAGCATATGCCCTTCTGGAGGAAGTACATTGAACTGCAGCGAGCTATGTTTTTCCACAACAATGCCCTGACTAGTAGCCACCCTTACGCCAGCGAGCCGTTCCAGTGGCCGTTCCTTCTGCGTGGTGTCAGCTTCTGGACCAAGAACGACACTCGCGAGCAAATTTACTTCCTCGGCAATCCAGTTGGATGGTGGATATCCAGCAGTCTCCTCGCTGTGTTTGCCGGCGTTATTGGCGCTGATCAGCTTTCCCTTCGTCGTGGAGTGGATGCTGTTGAAGAGAGTAAGTTGATACCTCGCGCCACTCCGTTTATGCCATACTAACCTTTTCTAGTCTGGGGCACCGGCTCTCGTTCGCGCCTATATAACAGCACCGGCTTCTTGTTTTTGTGCTGGGCCGCGCATTATTTCCCCTTCTGGTTGATGGGTCGCCAGCGTTTCCTGCATCATTACCTGCCTGCACATGTTGCATCGGCTCTTGTGACTGGCGCGCTGATCGAATTCATTTTCAACATCCAGCCGATTTCGGTCCCAGCGACAATACCAATAGCTGCAGATGACCCCACGGGCAAGGCGAAGATCAGGCGTTTCGTCACCGCGAGAGAGCGCATGGGCTTGAATTCCGTCCTTGCCGGCTGGTTTGCAACCTCGATAATTTTGGCCGCTACCATTTGGGGATTCTGGTTCTTCGCACCCTTAACCTATGGAACTCCCGGTCTAGATGTCGCCGGTGTGAACGCACGTAAATGGCTCGGCTATGACTTGCACTTTGCGAAATAGGTGCACCTTGTAACTCCCTGTTAAACCGGCGTTTGACGCTGTGTAGACACAGTGTTCGCAATCGGGGAACACACGCGCCCCGAGGGTCGGCCAATCTAATATTGGGTCGTATTGAAACTGCCAGGGCAGTGCTATACGACGTATGACTTCATATTCCAGTTTTGGATATTTGTCATTGGCAGTGGATCTTCCCTCTCTAGTCTACTTTTTCTTATCTTGTAACTTGATATAGCGCACTGCAATGTGGAATTTCTTGTATTATCTACTAATCAAAGAATGATCTACGAATGGAAGGCCCCCGTTAGATCTGAAAGAAAGCTTCATAACCTGTATTGAACATTTTATACAAAATCCAAAGCTAAAGCTAACGCCATAAGGAGTATCTATATACAAACAATCATCGGCATTGTAACTATAATGATTAGATAAGAAAACGGAGACTAGAAACCTTTCATTCGCTTCCCAATCTCGCTCTCCCATCCACGGACTCTCTCGAATCCATTTGCACCAGTCTGGAAATCAAGCATAGCTTGGTAGACCTCCTCCTGACTCGTCAAGACAAACGGTCCATACTGCACAACCTTCTGGTCCAGCGGCTGTCCAGCAACAAGAATGAACCTCGACTCCTCCTGGGCATTATCCGGCACCGAGGCCTCGACATAATCTCCCGCCTGGTCGAAAACAACATTATGGAACTGCTTCACCAACTGCGTCGAGTCCCGCGATCCAAACACTGTGTTGCCCGATAACGTATAAGCAAACGCATTCCACCCAACTGGAAGTACTTGGGAGATCCGGCCGCCAGGCTTGATAGTCATATCGAGGAGCCAAACAGGGGTATATGCCAAATCCCGAACGGAGTCCACACCATGACTCTGGCCCGAAATAACTTTAACGGTGACACGGCCCTGGTCGACACTTGCAACGGGGATTTCACTAGCCCTCAGATCACGGTACCGCGGCTCGCACATCTTCAGCGTCTTGGGTAGATCAACCCACAGCTGCATGCCGACATTGGGACTACCGTCTGGGTTCTCGTGCGGCATTTCCGCGTGCATTATCCCCTTGCCGGCCGTCATGAACTGCAGGTCGCCGGGCCCAATGGTTCCCTTGTTCCCTGCGAAATCTTCATGGTCGACGCCGCCGGAGAGCAGGTAGGTGATCGTTTCTTGCCCGCGGTGGGGGTGGTCCGGGAAGCCGGCGCCCTTGCCAATGCTGAAGTGGTCGAGCATGAGGAAGGGCGAGAAATTGCGGAGCTTAGCAGTGCCAATTGAGCGGCGGACGCGCGCGCCTGCGCCTTCGGCTTGCTCGATTGCGAGGAAGGCAGTGCGGATTGTGCGGGGCACGGACATTCTGAGGGTGATAGGGTCGCTAGGAGTAATTGGTGGAATGGGTTCCTTTGTAGGTGTCGTAGTGTAGTAGGTCTGTAGTCGCGAAGTGAAGTCTTTTAGAAGGTCAAAGTCGACACGGATGTTCAAGTCTGGATTGAACTTGAGAGTAGTAAAGACAATTGCTGCGATGCCAACAAAAATGGAGCAGAGCAGTTTCATCGGCTTCGAATGCGGCTATTTATACTTTTGCTTGAGAGAGGTGGGAACGTGGTGGAAGATCCTCGACAGAACTACAAGGGGAATTTAGTCACTTTATATAATTCTCGAATAAGCATTTGCTTTCCCCCTCTGCAGGTTTGGCTCCATCTCCCGAAGCGACTAAGCCGCTCGATCTCTCCCATCATTGCGGCGAGATCTTGCTGAGTGACAATTAGTTAAGCTGGATTTACGGTTCCGTGGCCCAAAGCGGAAATAGCGAGGTCTGACAAAGATTCCTGTCAGCGACGCCAAGACCTGGGATTCCACTGGGGGGCTTTACATTTGCAAGCATGAATCATCTGTACTGACTGCTAGTCATTGTTGGATAACATAAGAAGGATGTTTATTTACTTGTCTAATCAATTATACATTAAATAGTAAGCCCACTTACAGCTTTTCTTGATTTCTTATTATTTTAGACTCTCTTGGTGCAAAATTGTATTGGGAGACGCTATCTCGATATGGAAAGATGAAGATAACGGCTGGCACGTGCTGATAAGATCAACCTCACAGCTGTCATCAACATTCAACATCTTGCTTGGCTGCCCTGTTTCCTCTCAGATATAGCTATAATTTATTCAATTTCTCTAATATCAATTCATTTCCTACTTGGCGATCGTCGTCACTTACGGAATTCCCCACCGTGGGTAAACTGGCCATATCTCTTGCGCAAATCGCTTCCTTGGGGACATCGAGATCATACACTCCACTCCAAATGCGCGGCCAGTCGAGATTAATAGCCTCCCTGCTTGTGCTAACGTGTGCAAGTTCTGGTGCATGGGCCAACAGAAAGTTCAATATCAATGATGATCTTCTAGCATTTCCTCAGGTGAATCATAAACCATCGTCAAAGCCTCCTTGTCCCCCATGCTAACCATGCACATCTGTAGTTCCGACTCCATTTCCCTGATGGCTACATTCTCGATTCTCAGGCGCGCGCCTTCCTAGAGCAAACTCCGCATAGCGGCTCCTTAGCCGCTGACAAGAGAGACACCCACGAACAAGCTCCGTTAAAAGACAATACTTACGATCCGATACGGGATGCGTCATCTGGGGATGATGTCACTCTTTCCTACGAGGAGTTGGTTCTCGAAGATCAGCGATATCTCTGCCAGATCCCCGTGGTAGAAGACAGTGATGGCAACCAAACGAAGCCTGAGGTCAATGAAGACGAGGAGCGTAAAGAACTCGCGCGTGCAACAGACCGTGGCCTGGAACTCCTACGGGAGATGGAGGGCAGATGCCTTTACTACATCTCGGGTTGGTGGTCATACTCGTTCTGCTACAAGAACCAAGTCAAGCAGTTCCATGCGCTTCCATCTGGTGCCGGTATCCCTAATTACCCACCCATTGAGGACCAAACTACTCATTCGTTCATACTGGGCAGATTCCCCCGTGAAGATGCCCGGGACGAGAGAGAAAGTGATGCAAAATCGGGACAGACGACCACGGACTTGGCGGAGTTACAGACAAGAGGGGGATCACGCTACCTAGTCCAACATCTTGACAGCGGCGACCAGTGCGATCTCACGGGAAAGGACCGGAAGATCGAAGTTCAATTCCATTGTAACCCGCAGTCAACAGACCGTATCGCCTGGATCAAGGAGCTTCACACCTGCTCATATTTGATGCTTATATATACACCCCGCCTATGCAACGATGTTGCCTTTCTACCACCCGAACAAGAGGAAGTTCACACCATCGAGTGCCGTGAGATTATCACTCCAGATGAAGTCCCAGACTGGGAGGCACTGCACGAATACTACTTGTCTCAAAAGCTGGTTGACGCCGCCGAAACGTCAGAATTTCCGGTAATTGGGGGAATTGAAGTTGGTGCCAAGCGGTTAGTCGGATCTGAAGGCAAGCAAATTGAAAAGGGCCGAGTGGCTTCCATCGGCGAGGAAAAGGTGGACGTGATTGCGAAACGGGTGAACGGCGAAGTACAATTCTTGTCCAGGGAGGAGCTGAAGAAGTTTGACCTAGACCCCGAGAAAGTCGAGTCCTTCAGGAAGAAATTAGAAGAATGGGCAAAGGGCAAGGATTGGACACTGGAAATCGTTACAGGCCACGGAGAGCGTTCCTCTCTTCGTGGGGTAATTGATACAGATGATGATGAGGATGAGGGAGAGAAGGGGGAGCTAGACGATACACAGCAGGCGGGCGATGCAAATACAAAAACCAACAAGAACAAGGGACACGGGCAGCGTGTTGACCACCAGGAAGAGAGGGTGGTAGGGCACGAGCAGGAGGATGAGCGGGGGTCAGACAGGAGTGAAGAACCAGCATCAGAGGACAGAGACGTGGATGGAAGCGAGGAGACTTTCAAAGACGAATTGTAAATAAGCCATTTATATGAATTGACGGTTTTGTATGTCGCATTAAACCTGTGGACTCAAGGGTTGCGTTGCAGTAGACATCGACCGTTGCAGATCCTGGACTCGTGGAGTGGAATCCAAACAGACTTCAACCAGGAGGTACAAAGAACGTACTCCCTGTATCGAGCCAAAGCCTCAATCATCAATGCGTTCCGGCAGCGTGAGGGCTGGCTCGTGTTGTTGCGAGCCCCTCCGTGACCGACTGACTTCAGGCCGCAGACGACGACTTATCCACAGCGACAAATACCATTTCCCCCTCAGCCCCAACGATCGGCAGCCCTCCCATCTTCTCACTCAATTCCACGGCAGTCCGCCCATCCCGTCTTCTTCGTCCTCTGCGGTTTTGTCCAAACCTCCAAGACTGTACCCCGGATTTGTTCCGTTCCAGCCTGATCCATGAGTTGGGAGCTGCCAAGACCAGCCCACTCTGAGTCTCTTGCGCCGACTCTCGTCTCCGACTGACTACCTACGACCCGACCGTCCAGTGACATCCCAATCAACCACCCGGCCCTCTTTCCTCGCCTTTGCCCCTTTCCTAGCTCAACGCCTGAAGACACTTATCCTGACGCCGGATTCTTTTCTCGCTGCCGCAGCAGCCGGACAGCCCTCCTTCCACCTCTGCCCATTCTCCCGATCAGCACACGCGGCCCGTCGTCCGGTTGACCTGCGAACAACATGGGTTTCATCGGTGTCTACACCTCCATCTACGACTACCACCCGCAAGCGCAGGGCGAATTAGAGCTGCGTGAAGGTGACTTACTCTACGTTCTCGAGAAAAGCGATGAGGACGATTGGTGGAGAGCTAAAAAGAAGGCGGACCGGGACGATGAAGATGAGCCCGAGGGTCTAGTGCCTAATAACTACGTCGAGGAGGTAAGAGCACCACTCCGAGTTCTCCTGAGGTCTGGGGATGGGAAGGAACATTTGCAATGGCAAACTGTACCTTGCATGAAGCTCCTTGGAAATCTCTCCACCTCTCAGGGGTTCATGAAGACGCGATGACGTCCCAGCCCACCGCAACGCAAGAGCTAACAGAACATTGATAAACTAACAGGCCAACCCGATTGACACTGCGAAAGCGCTCTATGATTATACACGCCAGACAGATGAAGAGGTATCTTTCTCAGAGGATGCGAACTTGGATGTTTACGACACCTCGGATCCGGACTGGACCCTGGTTGGAGTCAATACAGATTTCGGATTCGCTCCGTCAAATTACATTGAAATTGTTGGAGATTCTGTAAACCGTGCGGGATATGATCAAACGCCTGCATCGCCAGAACCTCCCTCTGCCGCCATTGCCCCTTCAGTCCCCGAACCAGCAGCCCCTAGCCTTCCACAGCGCCCGGAGGCAGCACCCACGGAAGAAGTCGGCAGCGCGCCTGTCTCAAGATCTCCTCCTGAGGCAGCCCAAAACCCCGCTGCTGCGGCAATTGCCAGTATTCTTCACGAGCAACATGGTGCTCCAGGGTCGGATAGGGATGTTCCCCCGCCCCCGCAACCTCCGCGGCCGGCCGAACCCCAAGTGGCCCGCGAACCTTCACCCCCAGCCCCCAAATTGCCTCGAAGACCTCCCTCAGAACAGTTGACTTCCCCGGTCCATCTTGACTCGCCCCCGCCCGAGCTGTCACCTGTTGCCAATCCCAGACATGCTTCGTTACGAGAAGGTGATGGCGGGCCCCGGGAATCGCCCCCTTATAACCGGGTTGGACGGACAGCGCCGCGTTCTCCATCCGGATACCACATGTACAATATCAACGAAATGGTTGAGGTTATGGGTAAAAGGAAGAAGATGCCCACGACGCTGGGAATCAACATTGCTACAGGGACTATCTTCATCTCGCCGGAGGACGAGGGGGAAGTGCAGGAGTGGACCGCGGAAAAACTTACTCATTACTCAATTGAAGGAAAGCACGTCTTTATCGATCTCGTCCGCCCTAGCAAGAGTGTGGACTTCCATGCCGGAGCCAAGGACACGGCGCGCGAGATCGTCTCGGCGTTGGGTGAAATCTCTGGGGCTTTCCGTGCAGAGGGTTTACGGGAAGTTATTGAGGCTGGCGCTGGCGGTGGCGGCGCACAGAAGAAGGGAAATATCCTTTATGAATTCATGGCGCAAGGTGACGATGAGGTCACAGTTGATGTGGGCGATGAAGTGGTCATCATAGATGACTCCAAGTCCGACGAATGGTGGATGGTCCGACGCATAAAGAACGGGAAGGAGGGTGTAGTTCCAAGTAGCTACGTGGAAGTCACTGGTTTTGTTACACCCGCGCCTCCAGCCGCAACGGCTGTCGAATCTGGATTGTCGGCCGTGGAGAGGAACAGACTTGAAGAGGCACGTCTGGCTAAGGAGGCCACTCGGAAATCCGTATCGGAATCAGCTGAACCGCGAAGCCCACAGGTATGATGTCGTTCCGCCGAATTTGGGAGAGAGGCTAACAGTACATAATATAGCATCACAAGAGAGACAGCAAGAGTAGCCAGAAGTCCAGTAAGTATTTGTAGTTTTATGTCCCTTATCACCGTTCTAACCATCGTCTAGAGCCCGACCCGGCAAAGGTGAGGTCGTGGATTGACCGGTCCAAAGCATTCACCGTGGAGGCCCAGTTCATTGGCTTGCAAGATGGTAAAATCCATCTGCACAAGACGAACGGAATCAAAATTGCGGTCCCAATCCCAAAAATGTCTTTAGAGGACTTGGTATATGTTGAAAAAGTTACCGGAGTCTCACTCGACGAAGACAAACCGTTGTCCGACATTCGTGACAAGGCGCGGAGCGAACGCAAATCTGGTGCTACTTTTCAACAGTCCGACTATGATTGGTTTGATTTCTTTCTCAAGGCTGGTGTTGGTCCTCATCAATGTGAACGATACGCGCAAAACTTTGCGAAAGATTCGATGGATGAAGGTGTTCTCCCTGATATCAGCCCGGAAACTCTGCGCACATTGGGCCTAAAAGAAGGCGATATCTTGCGAGTGATGAAGTACTTGGATGGGATGTTTGGGCGGACCGGCCGCAAGGGGAAGCCGCTCAATGTCAGCTTTGGTGGGGAGGAGGTCATGGGCAATGGCGAGGATTCAGGTGGTCTCTTTGCTGGACCCGGTGGATCGCTGCGCAACAACACTCGGAAGGGGCGGCCAGCGCCCGCTGTTCAGACAAATGATGTGGTTGATCCGAAGGTATTTGAGCAGAAGGATGGCGTAAAGCCAGCGGAAGCCAAGGCTAGTACTCCTCCACCGGCGGCTGCCGCTGCCGAGAAACCTGTCCAAAAGGGCTTCGACGACGATGCATGGGAAGTAAAGACTCCGACGCAAACGTCAGCTCCGGCAGCAAGTTCACAGCCTCCCGCTGCGGTATCCGCTGCAACTAGCCAGCCACCATCTGCAGCTATGTCGGATCTATCGCTGCTTCAAGCACCCCTTCAACCGACTCCTGCGCAGCCGGCTCCCGCTCCTGCTCAGTCGCCCCCAGCAGCGCAGCCTATCCAAGCTCAGCCGACTGCAGTGCCTGTTCAGCCGCAGCCAACGGGGGCCTCGCCAGGCTTTTTCCAACAACTTGCACAGATTCCGCAACAGCCCAGACAACGCCCACAAGCTCCTCAGGCCATGGGTCAAAACTCTCTTATACCGCCACCTCCCCAGCGGCCGCTCTCTGCGCCTCAGAACATGCCTCAACCACAACCTTTTGGCGTTCCTCAGCTCCAGCCGCAGCTGACAGGCTTGCCTCAGCAAGGTCCTCAAATGACGGGCGCTGGATTCCAGCAGCCGTTCCAGCCACAACAAACCGGGCTTATGGCTCCAAATCAGTTTCAGAACGGACTTATGCCGCAGCCTACAGGCTTCCAGCCCCAGTCGCAATTCGGGATACAGCAACAGCAGCAGCAGCAGACTGGTTTCCCGGGCCTCGCCCCACAACAAACGGGGTTCGGCGGTTTCCAGGCCTCTCCTCAACAACCAATGCAGACTGGCATCAACTCTATTCTCCCACCCGCATTGCAGCCTCAACCCACTGGTATGAACGGTTCAGTGGCCTATTCTCCATCCCCTCCCCCGGTTCCACCCATCCCCCAGCAACCCACAGCTATGCCTTTACAGGCACAGAAGACTGGTCCAGCGCCACCGATCCGATTTGGTGTCAAGCCTGATGCTCCTAAGAAGCTTGCTCCACAGCCGACAGGGAAAGCAAACCTCTCGCAAGCTAGTAAGTCCACGTCCTGCCACCCTGAGCGCTACTTGTTAGCTAACTGGCGTAGCCCCCACGAATCCGTTCGGCTTTTAAACAAAGCAGACATGTATATAGGATTTCCAACTTCGCAGCACATGACCTTTTCATCATACATTATCCTTTGCTCATTCTGCCGGCGGGATTGCAAGCGTGATCCTCCCTAATCCTCTCTCCTCTCATAAGCACTATGATACATGCAGCGATCTAGGCATGGCCTTTCCCATCTATCCACGCAGCAAAGCCTCAGTATTTTGTTACGTGGTGCACCTTCAGCGAACTAGACTTCGATATCCATTTTCTTTTCCATTCCCCTTTTTCCTTGCTCTTTCCCTCATGGACTGGGCTGAACTCTATCACGTAATTTTGGAAGACTACGTCTAACGCTCTCCCTATTTCCTTTTGTCTTGGCTTTTGTTCTTTGGTCTGCCAGCATTTTGAAACGCTGCATCACGCTGCATGGACCAGTCATGTCTAGCATCATGTTTACCCCTGTCCAAGCTGTGTGGCCTTGTGGTTCTTATCCTTATCATTCACCCGGGGTCTTGACTGGGTGTTGTACGTATTACCTGACTGTAGCAGCTAGTGCTATCCTCTTATGTCACTATCTAATGTTGAGTTGTGTTGGTTTGAACTGTGAAATAAACTTATTGGGCATAACGTATTGTGTTATGTAGCAGGGTTTGCCATAGGATGTGCTAAACTTCTAACTATTAGGTACGATGAGGATTCTGGCGAGTCACACCAACAACAATGCTAGGATTGAACTCTCAGGCTTTCTCCCTGTGTTTGTCGGAACCCATATTGTGCCAGGGGTTTAGATTAAATGATAGATGGTTGTTGAAGAGCAGGCGTGGCGGTCGAAGCTGGGAAGAACGACTCCTGTTCCCCCACAACGGGCTCGCTCCCCCATTTATAATACTACAGAATTACTTACTATGTGTAATACTTAAGGAACACTAGTGGCTCTGATGGCTCTTCATTTAACAGCTCTTTAAATTGCTGAATATACGTCTACCTGTATACATTCAGATACTATAAGTACAAAGGAGATGACGGCCAACCCGAGGCTAGTCTAAGTCATCCATCAAGCACGCTCCCCACCTCGAACGCCAACCATATTCTAGGTCAGTCTTAGTCGGGATTTGGTGATTCTGTTGAAGCTGTGAGTGTTGGGGTCCCGGGACCGAGGATGTTTGTTGAGAAGGCAAGAGATGGTTTTGCGGTGAGGTTTGTGGAGACAGAGTAGCAGGACCCTTGCTGCTTCAACTGCTTATCACAGACATTGCCGCAGATAGATTGCAACCTGAGGCGTATACAATTTGAAATTTATACTTCTCTCGAGCGGGTTTCACGCTGGGATCCAATTGCCACAAACATCAACCGTGGTCCAGAAGCCATAGTATCATAGGCTTATCAAATCCTAATAAGTAGAAAATATGGGTGGGTGAACTGAAGGCTGCTCATGTGTCATCCCAAAGTCCAAATACCGGAAGATCCTCGGCCATGTAAAGAAGGCCATTGTCTGACAAGATCATATCAGAAAGCGGCGTCTGGCCTCCAGGCTCCGCCCTCATCCCAGATGGCATGGTGCCACCGGGTGAAAACCCAATTGGTATCCCGGTAGTGGTCAATGTAGAGATTACAGAGTCATACGGGAGCCCCCCTGTTGCGGCCGTGCCACATAGAGCATCCCAAATGTTGTTGTCTTGGGGTGCGAGTGCTGGTAGCTCGGGAGGCTGTGATGGCGTAGGGTTTGCTGGTGGGAGCTTATCCGGAGATAAAGGAGATGGCACGGCGGGTTCACCGGCCCGACGTGCAGGCATAGTATCCACTTCTAAAGACGGTTCACTTGCAGGCCCTACTTGGCCAAAGAGCTGGTCGACTTGTCGACTGCGCTGTTCCATCCATTGCCGGTTTCGTTGGCTAACGTACTCGGCCACTGCAGCTCGAAGATACTTCACAATCTGAAGGAAGCGGCAGGCGTGTGGATCGTATGGTACAAAGAGGCCGAGAAATTTCTCCGCTTTATTCATACCTTCTTCAAGTGGGAGAAAATTGTCGTAATCGGCGAAAAAAGCGGCTCCCAGGACCACTGCTGAGTTGAAGACGGAATTTATTAAGAACGGTAACCTGCGCGGTAAGTTTTCGTATGTTGAAAGGCCGTCCACGATGTCAAGACCGCGCAACGCAGAGTAAACACAGGCATCGGCGAAAAGAGAAAGGCGAGAGGTAGCATTCCTGGCCTCAGGGGCCCTAGAAGCTTCTTTCTTGTTTCTCACGTATTGTGATACCCAGAAGATGAGGAAAGGTCGTGTTAAAAGGATGATCGACCAGTAGTATGATCCAAATACATGTGCTGCAGCCAGGTTCTCTTCCAGCGATTTGGAATCTAATCGTTCTGTTTGCATTTGGAGGAAAGCAGGTAGGTTCCTGACCCAAGTTCGATGCTGATTAGAAATATTCTCCGCGACGTTAATTGATACGACCTGTCGCATATACACTTCGGTAAGGACTCGCTCAAAAATGCGACACAGGGATACAACGGTTGTAGATAGCTGATCCCGTGGCAGGTGTGATTCTCTTCGGGAGATCTCATCCTCGCGTACGTCATAATCGAAATCCGACGTGGCAGGTGGACGTCCCAAAGAAGCGCTAAGAAATAGGTCCATCATACGAAGACTTCTCCACACTCGTTCCCTGGCCCGCCTTTCCCGCGCAGTAAACAGGGAGTTTGCGTCCTTTCGGTGAATGCCCACTGCATATGCAGCCCGTAAAGCGATGCCGAGGTTCATGAATGCACCATTCCGGCGACAAGCACCGAGCATGTACATGGAAATGAGAACATAGGACTGGATGGTATATAGACTGGGAGTCTCGGTGAATGCCGAGAAGGCGAGTTGCCGGCCACTGACAAAATATTGCTCGGCCAGAGTTTGGTTCGTATCAGATACCTGCGCACCTATTGCAAGGACGAGGTAGAAAATTGAGCTGACTGTATCCTCATCACCTGTCGGATTTCCAATCCAATTTGCAAGCCGCGGATGAAACTCCTCGAGATCAAACAGGTCCAGCAACGGGCTAGTAGCCAAGACATACTGGCGAGCGAGCCGTTGCGCCTCATCATTGCTCGGGGGTTCGATCAGCGGCCCGCTCTGAGTAGTCGAGCTGCTTTGGAAAGCCTCTAGCATAGAGTGGCGTGATGTATCCTCCGTGAATTCGCACCGCCCAATTGACAGCGAAACGATGCGACGGACGCTCTGCACGAACGACAAGCTCGCAGAGTCCCCAATATACATAAACTTCCCTTGGCCGTCTCGAAGCAATCGCGCAACCTTTGGAACAGGCGCCGCGCCATCCTTATCATCTCCAACATCTTGTTCTATGTTCGCGCTTGTGTCCTCGAGAGAATTGAGCAAATGGTCCATGGCCGTTCGCCGCTGTGGAGTGGGCACCAGGTGTTCGCTAAGCAACATCGCTTCCTTGGGATCATTGCTGGGCCGAAGCAATCGAGCTGGCTTATCCGAGAAATGGCAGTCTGCTTCTTTGCGGCGCTGGACGCATATCGTACATGGCTGCTCCCCGTTACACTTTTGTTTCCTTCTCTTGCAACTGTCGCATGCACGGCGGCACCGTAGGCGGGCCCCCGGTGCGGTACTAGCTCGGGGCATACTGCGCGCTACTATTTAAGCTCATAAATGGATCAATCACTCTTCGCCGAGAAGCTGTGCGGACGGCGGTCAATGCGGGGAGCCGGAGCAGCAATCTATCGATGGTCGAGGAAAAGGCCGGTTCGGCTGCCCGTGGGATAGGGTGCTGACCATACCTTGCGGTATAGCAGTTAAACTATCGCGAATAACGCATTTGAGCAGTGCTGGACAACAAGAAAAGGGTGAAAGCAGTGTGTTGAAATGTGGTGGAAGTGCTTCGGTTTCCCCAGACTGCGCGAGGACATCGGGCTTGGCGTCTTTCCGAGTATGGTAAGATCGGCAGTTGACACCTCAGGTGTCAAACAGTCCCCCAACCGTTAAACACTTCCGCGATTGCTTGGAGATATCGCATCTTGGTCATGAATTGGCGTTCAATTTGCTATAATACCAGTACATTACAGCTAAACTTAGCACCCGCTAGAAATCAGATTCGCCCATTACTCAGGCCGGAAAGACACAAGTCTTCCGAAAGTGTCCGCTGTGCCCCAGATGCCATGGCGCAAGCCTGACAACTGAACAATCTGGCTATGGTCGACGAACAGGTTAACGTCGATGCCAAACTCCCTCATGTACCAGGTATACACCTGGGGGTCTGCTGCCTCGAACATGACACGCTCGGGTGGAAGCTCCTTCATGATTTTCGACACCACGTCCGTTCTCCACGAGTTTACATTCTCAGTGATGCCCTCAGATTCGATCATCAGGCGCTCAACGCCCGCGTTGAGAAATCTGTGTCCCAAGTTCACCAGCTTTCCAGGATCGGAAGTGCCGAGTGATTCGAGACCGGCGGCTGAGGTGTCACCGCCAGCTCCGAATTGAATGCCTAGCTCGGGTTTTGCTTTTAGTCCGTACGAGTGAACCTTGTCGACAAGGCGGAGCCAGTCCTCTTCAGGGAAGGACAGAAAACCTGAAGAAAGCTCGATCACGTCGAATCTGTGCAATATTAAGCTATACTCGAACTGAGAGTGGGGTTGGGCAGATGGCATACCCTAAGTCTTTGCATTTTGAGAGATATTTGTCGAACACCGCGTTCGGGTCTGGGTGTGTGAGGAGATGCTCGGCCCATCCACCCTACGTAAGGTTAGTCAGGATCCATCTCACCAGTTATGAAGTTTTTGACACTAACCGTTGACGCATAGACGTCGTATTCATGTGCAAGGTCAATCAACTCTCTGAGAGGCTTCTCTGGGAAGAGCGAGAAAGAGCCTCCGGCGAATTTAAGTCCGTCGACATGTGTGCCCATCCTATGAACCTCAGCATTAACTCCAAGTTTCATCCATTTGGATACAAACACTTACGTCTCGAGAACATCGGCGAGGTATCTCTTGCCCATCACCTACAATCGCGAATTAGCCTCTGCCGCCTGTTTGCTAGGATCAATCTCGGGTACATGCGGTATAGTACGGTCCTCTGATCTCGGTCACCCCCTTAGTTCTAGGCTTCTTCGGTCGAGGGTTCGATCGCGCGAACCCAAATCCGTTGGCCTTATCTTGGAGCAGGATGTTTGCCTCCTGCGCAACAGGGGCTGTGGTCGACAAGTTCCTAGACCATACCGGCGGCGCGGCGGTTTTCTGCAGTGCCGAGCCAAAGGCCTTTCTCGATGAAAAAGCGGCGGTTCGAGCTATTGGGGACATCATTGTAACTGTAGGGTTATATGATGTCGCGATTTACTGATATCAAACGTTCGGTTATTTTCGTTGAAAGCGCTTCAACAATTATGTTTTGGTCAAATATTGATATTAAGACTATGATACAGGTCGAGATGGGACGATGAACAGCATATAAAGCAGAGTATGTATCTACTCATGTGAGCGAGGGTTTCATCATATATACATCATTTATCCCCTATAGTGAGGCTTTCCAGTCGCTCCGAGGTCAGACAACTCCTATGAAGTCAAGGTGGTGTAGATTAGATAGGTATGATGTCATCCCCTAGGTAGCTTGGATCAGATAACTTGTTGTTCCTATCCTATATCAATCTCGGAGGGTCGGTACACGAATTCGGTCAGTAGCGCAGTAGCAATAAATCTCACGACGTTTGGAACTCATAATTAGCGCCGGGTGAACCAGAAGCCAAGTTAAAGCATGGATCCCAGAGGTTACATTTATGCAATTCATAAAATTGTGCGGAGTAATGTACGGAAGGAGCGATGCACGGCGATCTTCGGTAATCGGAACCTGTTGATGGTCCGCTGACAAGTTTATTCATCCGCCCCCGAGCAGGTGAGTATACGTACGGTAACACGATACGCGCTGCTTGTTGGACTTGCAGTCTGACAGACATCCTCTTCCCGTCGGGCACGGAGACTGGCATCTCCGTAGGTGAGTGGGCATTGACAAGTGTCGCATTCGACACATCAAATAATTGCGATTTTCCATGTTCCAATAGTGCACATAAGCGCCGTAACAAACAACTCCGCTGCGAATTTTCGTTGCCTCGACTTATCGACATCCTCAAGAGCCAATTCCGCTTTTGAAATTTAGGTGGCGAGCTTTGGTCACAGCTGTTCCGTAATCTCTCGCACAAAGAGATCACATCGCGGAGCGTCGGTGGGACGAAGGTCTCAGCACTCCAGAGACAGAGTACTCCCACTCCGTTTCGGAGATGGGTTCCATATTTACCTATCTGTAACGCATCCCCCGTGGACGTGTGCTTGCTTTGATCACGAGCGCAAGGATTGTGACTTTGATGGTAACTCAATCGGCGTAAAAGAACTGTCCGCCAAGCGGGTGGCTTGTTCCACTCAAAAGCAAAACCCTCGTCGGTGGTGGAAAGCCACTGGTGGGCTTGGGCTTAGAGAGATGCCCCGGCGTAATGGCCGTACCAGCCTTATGATCAATAATACCACGCCAGATGATAGGGCTGCGGTTCGCCATTCTCCACCCAGCCCGCACGACCTCCTGCCGCAATTGGTTCATCGCGGATCTACCTCGAATCTGAAATTGGAAGTTCAGTCGGAAGCTGGAGAGCCCAACGGAGTGAGCAACTCGCAGGCACAATGCTCCTCCTGAAGCCTGCAATGAAGCCCACTTGGCCTGGTTATCGGGCCCTCTGAGTTGGAACTTGGAAAGGGTCTCAGAACAGCTCACCAACTCGAAGAGACCTCTGCAAGGAGATGCTTCGATGGGTACCTCTGTGTCTGCCTGGTCAACCAGGTCAATGTGCCCAGGTCTTGCTCAACTAGCAGGCTTGTCCTTCTCCACTGGACCACTGAGGCCGAGGAACAGTCCTGGGGCCTGGAGACATTCGGCTCTGCAATCAAGTCTCTGCTTCCGGAACCCGACAGTTCCGGCTTTGTGTTTGCAACGATATTTTGTTTACATTACACAGGTGAATACACAGGTGTAAGCCACCCCACTCGGGAGTCCTTCATCCAGTGATGACTATACGCTGAAATTAGGGAGACAGCAGGGGTGTGTTTGTTCTGAGAACTTGGGCATAAGGCAGGCTGACTAGGTACAATAAATACTCACGTACCCGCATATGAAGAAGGAACCCGCCGCTGCACCCTCCGGCCGTAAGTAATATCTCTCTCTCTCTTTCTCGTATCACTAGGCGTCCGCCAGCTACGGCATAGACCTAATTTTTACGCCGGCTGTACCAACAGAGGCGAGTTAAGCGGGGGCGTTCTTTGTCCCAGTGGTGAATCTGGTGATGCTGCACTGGCTTATTCGTTCCTAATCTCGTTCCCTACGGCGGCTCTCCTCCTCTGTCGCCTTACGTCTCTCATTTGCTTCTTATTTAACTTCCTCAAAGACCGCTAGCCAGCCTTCCAGGAGTACATCATGGGAGTCGGAGCTATTTTGGAACCCTTGGTGGTCATTGTCCTTCTTTTTGGTGGCACTTGGATTAATCGCACCGCTGGGCCGTTTCCTCCCGCGCGAAATTCTCGCGCCAAATCCCCAGCTCGCCATCGTGCAGCCTCGCCGGATTCCATCGAGTCGGGCCTCTCCTCACCTACATCAAAGGATGGGCTTTTAAACAGCCGACCACTGTCTCCGTCATACTCGCGATCCGGACAAGAGACATGGCGCACCCGCCAAGTTAGAATACTGTTGTGGACATTCGAACTTACCTCGCCAAACACTGCTGTTTTCCATGATCGTCTCCTCAGTCGCTTACTGCGAAAGTTGCCGTTCCTGGCCGAATGCTGGTACTGGGCGTTGGTCTACTGGGTAAGCATTTCCTCTTCCTTGGATCGCCTTGAACTATAAAAGAGACTAACTTCGCACGCGCAGACATACCAATTAGGGAGAGCGTTCACTGCCGTAACTCTACAAGAAGGAACTGTCGACGTAGCGCGGAAACATGCCTTGCAACTTATTGAAATTGAACAAACCCTGGGGCTCTTCTGGGAAGTCCCGATCCAGCAGTTTTTCCTCCGGCACCCGTTACTCATGAGATGGACCAATTGGATATATTCATTCATTCATATCCCTGGAACAATTGCATTCTTAGTCTGGCTATATTATTACACTATCACAAGAAACCGGCCCGATGAATCTCAATTGGGGAAACCTCGAGGTGGCTCGCCAGCAGGGCCGCTCCTTTACCAAGCCCGCCGACGCACCTTGGCCGTATGCAATCTCCTTGCATTTGTTGTTTTCACTCTGTGGCCATGTATGCCGCCTCGCCTGCTGAGCGACAAGGGCGTTGAAGGACCCGAAGGGAAGCTGGCGCGCAGTTATGGGTTCGTGGATACCGTACACGGGGCCGAAGGTGCTGGTAGTGTGTGGACCGAGAATAGATTTTGCAATCAATACGGTAAATAATAACCCTGTCTCCTCTTCTTTCTCGTTTGGTCATGTACTCACTATTTGACAGCTGCAATGCCTTCTCTACATTTCGGATATTCTCTTATGATCGGACTCACCATCATGACAATTCCACTACCGGCGCATCAGCGCCTCTCGACTCGAGTTCGCATTGGGCCCTTTGGGGTTCAGATTCCATCAAGACATCGCTTAGTTTGTCTATTCCTCGGCGCTGCCTATCCGTCCATAATTCTCGCTGCGATTGTCGCAACGGCAAACCACTTCATTCTTGACGCTGTTGCTGGTGCCGTTGTGTGCTCTCTTGGGTGGAAGTTCAATGGAGTCCTCTTGAATTTGATACCACTGGAAGACTACTTTCTTTGGATGGTCCGAATACACAAGCCAGAGCCGGCAGAAACGGCGGTGGATCTTGAACAATGGTCTGACGATAGTGATGTTGAATGCGCGCCGATAGTTGCCTGAACACAGGGGGCGACCCGGCTAATAATCCTTATATTATGTTGCATTTTGATGATACCCCTTTCTTCACCATCGTGATCATCATGTTCTCACCCTGGCTGGTTCTTCACAGCCTATTCCTTATCCTTAGGGTCGCTCTTTTCCCCCATCTTTATGAGGGAGTCTGTATAATTAATTACCGTATATAAATACCTAATATGATACTGAGTGTCAGAGATTACGGAATCATTATGTCGTCCTTGGTGCATGTGTATTTGCGAGCTTTATGTTCGATTTCTATGCAATTCGAAAGCGCATCTCGATTATATATATTTCCCCGAGCCGCAAATGGAGGCGAGTAAACTGGTATCTTTTAACTGAAGACGATAAAAAGGAAAAGATATATATAAATCGATTTTTGCGGTAAAGTGTCATTGAATGATAAGCTCTGTTTCGTAGACGATGAAAGCCGCAGTATAGAAGGCTTAGCACTTGCAAGAAGCTGGGGCTGCTTACATTGCGCAATCCATAGATTAGTTGTATGGAGACTGAACCACTTCTACTTCCCCGTCACTCCTTCCAACCCCAAAACACTTGCATTTGAGCCTTGAGGATACCAAGACACCCCCACCAAGGTTGCCCTGCTGTTCTTTGCGCCCTGCAATATTCAAGATCGTCGGCAGCAAACGCGGGGTTTAACAGCGTTCCCTGCCCTCGACTTTCCCGGCTGTCCTGGCAACTACAGACTGCCTCTTGCCGTGGCGATAGGTCTGTGATTCACCCTCTCTAAGCATATAAAAAAAACTCTTTTTAACTTTATTTGACAGACTCCTCAGTAGACGGAATCGTCTAGTCGCAACTATTATCACTCCTACGCGTGCGCCAAGTTACGCGCCGGCCAGTCGCGAACAGCTTCACTCTTCATCCAGCTGCATTACTCTCCCGGTACGAAACCTTTAAAAAGCCAAAGTGCTTCGATACTTTATTGTTTCAGCTGGGTTGACTGTTTCGTGTTGCTTTGTAGCTTCTCCGCATTCTGAGGGGTTGGAGAATCATCGCCCAGAATCCGCGTCAAACCTTCTATCACCAAGAGGGATATCACCGATACTTCATCAACCGCCTTTGATTTCATCACGTCTCGGTGCCTTTACACGCCTTTACACGCGTGGTTATCTAGCTGAGCATCACGGCGTTGCTGTTACCCACTGAGAGCTTCTGCCAGTTACCACCAGGCTCTACCCTGTAAGTGAATTCACATCTCGGCTCACGGAGCACATGCTAAACCTTCACACTAGAGAATTCCCAAATCTATCAAGAATCAAGTGTCCGACCACGAGAAGAAAGTAACTGGGCAGTTGCGTTGGTATTTGTGTTCTGTTGCTGGGCTCGATCGTTGCGTCATTTACGGGCTGCGAGCTCCCTTTTCCCCCAGTGCAACGCGTTGTCGACTTCCCGCCTCCCGGCGTCGCGACCTTCTCCACCACCATCTCTCCCACCGAAAGCCACATCGACCTTTCCAACCATCTCTTGCAGGAAGGTTTTGGCTTCTTTCTCATCCACCCGAAATCTCTTTGCTACTCGAATTTATTATTGAGTGCCGCTGAGAACCATGGCCGAAGCCAACACCACCCCCTCGGCGCCTGCCCCAGAAGCTGGTGAGGCGTCTGCTGAGCGCGCTCCTGCAGAGGTTCAAGCTGGCCCTCAAGAGTCGGCGACTGAGCCCAGCAAGGAGAACGCAGAGAACGAGGCCAATGGCGCGGATGAAAAGCCTGCTGGTAAGTGCACTTTCAGCTTGTTTTTGGGCCCCTGCCCCTGCCTGTCGATGCCAGATGGCGATCGCGTGCACTTGTGTGTTGTTGTATCTTTGTTGAGTAGCCCGACTAACCTCTGCTGTTCATTCATACAGAAAGCACAACCGCGCAGGAGGACAAGAAGGAATCGTCCGACGCCGCTGCTGAAAAGCCTAACACATCTACCGAATCTGCCGATGCGAAAAAATCCGACGAGGGTCCTGCTGCACCGGAGCCCAACGGAACACCAAAGTCCACCAAGAAGTCATCCGCTAAGCGCAAGTCGACGGGCGGGGATACCAAATCCAAACTGAGCCGCAAGAAGTCTATGACTCGCATCCCACAGCTTGATGCCAAACCTGGCGATTACTACCTTGCGCGTCTTCGCAGCTTCGCCCCGTGGCCCGCAATCGTCTGCGATGAAGAGATCCTTCCTCAGACCCTCCTGGACTCGCGTCCTGTGACAGCCCAGCGTGAAGACGGAACCTACCGAGAAGATTACGCCGACGGTGGCAAGCGCGCCGCTGAGAGAACTTTCCCTGTTATGTTCCTTCACACCAATGAATTGTACGTGCTCTTCACATATGGACGCCTGGAATAATTTTAGTGCTAACCCTGACACTAGCGCCTGGATTCCTAGCACTGACCTCACACCCCTTGATCCTGCTACCTGCAAGGATGTATCGGAGAAGGGCAAATCGAAGTCACTGGTGGCCGCTTACGGTGTTGCTGCGGAGGGTCATGATCTCGCATACTACAAAGAAATGCTCGCAGACCACCAACGCGCGATTCAACAGGAAGAGGAGGAGCGAGAAGCTGCCGCTGCTTCCAAGGCCGCCGCTAAGGCTGAAAGGGACGCGAAGAAGAACAAGCGGAAGAGCATGGATATTCACGATGATGTTGATGCGGAAGACGAGGGTGGTAAGCCGGCAAAGAGCTCTAAGAAGAGGAAGAAGGATGCTGAAGCCGAGAGCGAGAAGGTGAGTGACTTGTTTCCATTGCTCTTTATTTAATACTAATGCAATGGTTTTAGCCTTCTAAGACACCCAAGACGGGAACTAAGCTGAAGCTTACAACCCCGAAGGCCCCAACTGAGGAAAGTGGAAAGAAAGCCGCTGGGTCCAGCAAGGCTAAGCAGAGTGCTAGCAAGAAAGGGAAGAAAGCTGCAGCTGGCGATGGGAGCGACGAGTCGCGCCCCGTGTCCAAGGATCCTGAGCCCCAGGTTAACCTGGAGGAAGCTAAGAAGAAGAGAGAGAGAGAAGGTATGAGCCTTGCCCACCGTCAAGGAAACAAAACTGATGTTGATTGTTTCTAGTACTATTTGTCCGCCACCGCCTGCAGAAGGGGTTCATTTCCCGCGATCACCCTCCCAAGGAAGAAGAAATGTCGCAAATGTCGACCTATTTCAACAAGCTAGAGAAGCTCGGTGACCTAGAAGTCTCGATCATCCGCGAAACTAAGATTCACAAGGTCCTTAGAATGATTCTCAAACTGCCAAACATCCCACGTGACGAGGAGTTTAACTTCCGGAAGCGTGCTCTAGACGTTCTCTCCAAGTGGAAGAATGTTCTGGACAGTGATCGCGGAACACCCAGTCAGGAGAAGGAGAAGGACGAGAAGCCCAAGGCCAACGGTGTTGGCAAGGAAAAGGAGGGCACTGAAACCCCAAGTAAGACCGAGAAGGAGGACGACACTAAACTCGACTCCCCAGAACAGGATACCCCCATGCCTGACGCGGATGAGAAGAAGACCGAGGACACACCGGCACCTGCAAAGAGTGACGCCGATAAGGCAGCACCTGAGCCTGCAGAGAAAGAGGATGAGAAGGAGAAACCAGCGGGGGAGGCAGCAGAGGAAAAGACTGCCGAGGCTGCGGCGTGAGCCAACAGCATTGCCACCGCTAACTACTATTTATGTGCATGGCAAGGTAATTCTTGGTTGTTACTGTGATGTGATGATACTCTCCTCGCCTTGTTTTTTCCCCGAATGCTTTCCAAATTCATATTGTATGTGTTCGCAAGTGTCCTTTTACTCTTTCATTCTCTTGTTTCAATTCCTCACTTTATGCTCGTAGGAAGTATTTTACCAGTTCTTTTTTTCTTCTTTTTTTCCAGCTTAAATAACTCGTTTACTACATGTGTCGCGCTTCTACCTGCTTGCTTGTTTATTTTTTATTGAACTTTTTGCTGTTCTCTCGTTTCATCCTCGAGTGTCCCTCAGTTTCTCTCGAGCTACAGCTGTATCTCGTCTCTTTTCTTTTTTGGTTCTAGACACAAGGAAAAAAAAAAAACTGAGAGAGGCTGTGGGATAATCCGGCCTAATAAAAAGCTTTTCAAGATAACTCTACTTAACAGACTCTCAAGGTATTGCCTAGATTCCTAGGTGACTCTGAGGATGGATTCATTCTACCACGCGTATTCAAGCATCCCACGACTGAAAATATTATGTCACTGTCCGGGATAAAAGGGAGAGAACGACCCAAGGGCAAAAAGTATCATTACTTGACATCGAGAGAATGTAATAATAAGTGCTCGCGCAGTGTAATCTACTTTATCTATCGTCTATATTTAATACTGGTATACCGAACGCGCCACAATAAGTGCAGCAATTGAACAATGGAACAAATGAAACCAACTCAGACCGTTTCAAAAAACCAACGAAGCGTATCGTGTAGGTATATGCAAATGTATGACGAATTTCCGGCCTCCGTTACTCCGCTCTAAGAAAAGAAGGAAAACATAAAAAAAAAGAAGATGAGGCGACAACAACAATGACGACGCTATTCTTCCACAGCAACAATAACCAAAACGGCAATATCATCTACTTTCCCGCCGTGGTAATAATCGCCGGGATAGTAGCGTTGTGCTTCCTTTGCGAAGGGGCCATCGCGGCGGAGATCCATGCTTGCGAGCTTTGCCTCACCGGCAATGGAGGCAGCAACGAGCGACTGGAGGGTGTAACTGTGGTCATGGGGGTTGGAGGCTGTGGCAGATTTGGACTTGTTGGAGGTGAATTCAGGTGCAGATGAGGGGATGAGGGAGGACAGGCCCTCTGGACCGGTAAGTCGGTCGAGCGTTTCGCGGTCTGAAGGGGTGATGCCAGTATTAGGGGTTGTAGAGGCCGTCCAGGCCCCAGTGTAGATCATGCGGCTTGTGACCAATTTCAGGATGTCTTGGTTGTTCAGATTATCGAAGACGCCGTCGGTAGCCAGCATGAGGACGTCACCGTGGTGCATGTGTAGGGTTGTTGTGACTGCGTCGCGGGGGAAATCTTCGAGGAATGCGCCGCCAAAGATGGAGGCTTGCTGGCGCATGCGCGGGGGGATGATGCTGAGTTGGTAGGGGGTATTGAAGCCGTGAGTTTGTGGGATTGAGTAGTGGTGGACTGCAGCATGGCGAAGGAGGACAGAGCCTGAGTCGCCCAAATTTGCGAGTTCAATGCGGCCGTCTTCAAGCCCTATCCCAACGGATGCAGTGCATCCGCCTGCACGGATGGAGTCGTCTGCGACAACACGGTCGTAGCCCTCTTGGAGGAGAGCTTTGGCACGAAGTTGCTCTGCAGGCTTTTCCCAGGCCAGCGCTGTCTGAGCCATATAGTCGCATAGACCATGCGAAAAGTCCGCCGGGTCGACTCGCGATTCTGCCCACCCTCCAACGCCATCTGCGACTGCGAAGGCAACGGGGTGGTCGGGGGAGGAACTGTAGTGCCCGACAGAGCTCACAAAGAAAGCATCCTCTCCGCTATCTGGTCGTCGCTTTCGCTTCGCCGCGGGGGTTGGGGCATCGACCGCAACGCCAAGGGCCTCTTGAAGCTCGGGGTTGAAGTTATAGGCATTTTTGGCGGGGAGGAACCGGCCCGTTTTGCTAGACGAGGAGGCCGCAACACGGTACGATATTCGCGGGGTATGTGAGTGACACGCTGGCGTCGAATGAAAGGCTCTCGAGGAGGGTGTTTGGAGGACGGACGGGCATGTTTTCAGTGGTTGCGGAGACCGAAATCGCGGGAGGCGTCGGAGAGGCTGCGATCTGGCTGCAGGAGATGCGAACACCCCTGTTAAGCGCTCTCGCGCGAGGGATTGTAGGCTACTGCAGGCTGAACCGCAGGCTCTACTGGAGCCGGCCGACAAGATCATGGGCGAATACTCGGACTTTCACCGGGGGATCTCGTCCGTCGATTCTGTGCCCCTCTTAAGAGCTGCGTTGAACGAAGGGGAATTAAACAAAAGGTTTGAGCCAGAGGGCTTGTTTCCAGGAAACGGCACACATCGGGCAAAGTAAGCTGTGTGAGAAACCGACCCGTCAGCGTACTGGTATAGGAGAGGAGGACAAGCCGCGAAATCCGAAGAAATTTCCGCCGTCTCAGCAAACAGACGAAGGGGGCGGTCGCAGTGGATTTTTCGCCAACTGACGTCGAAGTCAAAGAGAAAGCGGAATTGCCGACCGCCTGCTTTCAGGTGCCGCAGAACTGGAGCAAGACAAACGCCCAGGAGCGAGAGCGAGTAAACTGCCTTCAAAGCATCGTCACTCCTCCGGCGTGAGCTCAGCGAGCAAGCAACGTCCGCGAGTAGCCGTCTGCTGGCGATCTGCAGCTGTAGTTGGCGTGGGCCAGAACGAGACTGTTGTAGAGCCAACTCTTATCGTAGATAGAACACTTGCAAAGGGCTATTTGAGGCCCGATTGGCAGCGAGCGACTCGGTCAAGAAGCGTCACTAGGTTCTCTTGGTCATGCTGGATGAAGTAGGTTGAGATCAGCTGTTGGAGTTGAGATGCTGTTGGTTGAGTCTCTTTGATTTGGTTTCCGCTTTTCGACTTTCTGCCTTTTTTTCCGATCTCATCAACTCAACCTCAAAGACTTCATCCCACCCCACGGGTCTCCAGCTTCACGCCACCGATAATCACCCGAAACTCCTAGCAAACACTTATTTCCTTGCATTGACTGTTTGTTGTTTAAACTCCCGGGGCTCCTGAGGCCCCTTTCTAGCCACCACCATGATGCACCCATCGAGACAGGCGTATGTCGAAGAGGCGGAGGTAAGAGCTCCCTATGCGTCTTTGAATGAACCTCCAGTACCTGCTGGCTGGATCGCTTGATCCTGATAAGCTTTGGTTTACAATTCCTTTTGGCCAAAGGTGACGCGACCCCGACTGACTTCCTGGATCTTCTGTTTAGGAGATGGATACGGGCATTAATCTAGCTGATTTGCGTGAGTTTTTTGCCCGCCCTCTCTCTTTCACCATCGCATTGCTAACCCAAAATTTCTCTTCAGCTGTTGACCGCGACTATGTGATACCCCCATCTACCGCCGGTATTCCGGCAGAGAAGGCCTCGGCCATCATTTCGCAGTTCGAGCGTAAACGAAGAGCTGCTGCTATGGCAGTCCCGACTGACGACACACGGGTACGCGCACGGCTGCGAGAGCTTGAAGAACCTATTACACTATTTGGAGAAGGCCCAGCAGACCGAAGGGATCGACTGAGGGAACTTTTGACGGACATTGCAGAGAAGCAGGAAGCGGCGGCCGCGGAGGAGGATGTCGAGATGGAGGAAGCATTCGGGGAGGAGGAAGAGGGAGACCAGCAAGAGGAATTCTACACAGAGGGCTCAGACGAGTTGCTGAAGGCACGAAAAGAAATAGCACGGTTCTCACTACCCCGCGCCAAAGCTCGTGTCGCGCGGCAACGAGAAGAATCAACAATACCGTTACGGACGCATATCAAACACCGGAAGGCTATCAAAGAGAAGCTAAATAACTTTGATCTCTACGGATCTCAGATTGCGGGTGACCGGCCGGTCAGCATTTGTCGGTTTGCACCGGATGGGCAGACAATTGCGACTGGTAACTGGGGTGGTGGTATTCGCCTGCTGTCTGTGCCAAATTTGGAAGAGAAGCTTTCTGTCAAGGGTCATACTGATCGAGTTGGAGGTCTCTCGTGGTTTCCCGGGGCCACACTTCCTGAATCGAACGTCTCCGAATCAAGCGTTAACCTTGTATCGGGAGGGGGAGAAGGCAATGTTTGTTTATGGTCCCTTGACAAGGACCAGCCACTTGCTACACTTGGTGGACATTCTGGCCGAGTCTGCCGGACCGAGTTTCACCCGTCTGGGAAATACCTCGCATCCGCATCTTTCGACACAACATGGCGGTTATGGGATGTTGAGACGACGGCAGAGTTACAGCTACAGGAAGGTCATTCGCGAGAAGTTTATACAGTTGCGTTTAACAACGACGGGTCCCTCCTAGCAAGCGGAGGTCTGGATAGTATTGGACGCATTTGGGATCTCCGAACAGGCCGTACAGTAATGATCTTAGAGGGTCACATTAGGGAAATTTTTGGTCTGGACTGGGGAGTGGACGGGTACCGTGTACTTTCCGGGTCCGGGGATGGCTGGGTCAAGTGCTGGGACTTGCGCCAAGTGAAGAATACCGGTGGGATCGGGGCACACAAGAGCGTGGTGTCCGATGTGCGATGGTATAAAGGAACCGAGTCAGAAACTGCGTCCTTCTTGCCATCTACTGAGGGGCAAGCTGGGCGAATGGATGTTGACGGGGCCGCGGCTCCTATACAACCGAAGAAGTCGGGGACGTTCTTTGTGAGCAGTGGGTTTGACAAGAACGTGAATGTCTTCAGTGCAGATGACTGGTCTCTCATAAAGACGCTGAGCGGGCACTCGGGCAATGTTCTCAGCACTGATATCAGCAGCAATGCGCAGTGGATCGCCAGCTGTGGGCATGACCGCACGGTGAAGCTATGGGGGATCGAGTAAGCTACAAGCAACAACCACATAATTGAACCAGCCCAGTGTCAGTACATTGTAGAGACGATGAGCTCTGCAGTATGTTTTATAATGTCTAGATAGCAGTATTGTTTCCACGATGACACGAGAGTCAGCAAATAGCCTCAACTATACAACAGCCAAACACCATATATCAGTGACGTCATTGAGCAAAAGCTGTAGATGCTGACTAACCACCAGTGTTGTTCCTCCAAAACGAATTCGAATTCCACTGCAATTCCACCGTGCGGCGAATCTTTCGAACTTTCCAAGCAATTTTCCATTTTGAATACAATCCAAAAGCGGTCACCCAAACCGTCCCAGCCAATCAGAGCCGTAATCTCAAGGCTGGGGGTTCGAGCACCCCGTTCGGCTTTTTGCTTCCTGTATCATCTCCGGTTGCCATCTGAAACTCCGAAACTTCTCCGCGATTCGATCTGCGGTTTGCCTCGATAAATAGTGACCCATCAAGCTCACTTGTGCGCCTTGTCGCTATTCTTTCAACGAACACCGCAAAAATGGCAGCATCTCTCCGCTCTCAAAGAGTCATCCAACGGCTCGCCGCGTCATCTCGATCAACACCACGTTCATTCCTCACGGCAAACCGCAAGACACTCAGCGGACCCTGTATTATTTGCCAGCATCAACTCTCAAACGCCGCAGCTACACGGTCTCGTTCACCACTACAACACCGCGCCTTCACAACAACTGTCCGCAATCTCAACCCGGACTCAAACTCCGACAACTTCTCCGAAATCCCCAACGCCCCGAACACAACAACCTACTACACGATCTTCCCGCAAACCCTTCCAACAGGTCCGCCACCTTCGTCGCCATTCGCAGTTGACGTCGCGCTCCTCCGGCGCGAATTCCTACAGCTCCAAAACACAATCCACCCGGATAAGTACCCCCCGGGCCCAACGAAACAAGCCGCCGAGTCGCTCTCCGCCACGATCAACGAAGCTTACCGCACGCTCGCGGACCCGCTTCTCCGCGCGCAGTACATCCTACGGGAATTCCATGGGATCGATGTCACGGCGGAGGACGGGGCGGGGTCGCACCCGCTTGATCCGGAGCTGTTGATGGAGGTGATGGATGTTCAGGAGACGATTGAGGAGGTGGGCGAGGGCCCCGAGGCGGAGGCACAGATCGCCGATATGAAGAAGGAGAACGATGAGCGGTTGAGGGGGTGTGTGGAGGCGTTGGGGAACGCGTTTGACGAGGGCAATGTGGAGGCGGCGACGGGGGAGTGTGTGAGGTTGAAGTTTTGGGTCAGTGTTGCGGAGGGATTGAAGGAATGGGAGCCTGGGATGGGAGGGATTAGGCTGGTTCATTGATTCCCCTGTTGTTCGACTTTGGTTAGACGTGGCGAAGAAGCGCTGTATGATATAATTGTTGTTTCTATACTAGAGTATACTCCCCTCTGTGTTCGTTCTAGACTACAGAATCATCTTGCATATGATGTATTATCGTATTCCGCGTCTCGGTATAAAGGTTTTTAGGTGCTGTACACTATATATATTTGTGCCATATCCGACAACAACAACACTGCAGTTATTTTGAAGGCCAAAGGTAGCTCAATAGCAGGCAGGCCCAATCTAAGATTACTGCAGACAAAGATAGGATGATGATATCACAAAACATAATCGACAGCGACGCAGATGCAGAGCAGAAGCGCTGGTGGAGCTGCCATGTTCCAAACTTGACTTCCCTCCCCGACACGCACGGTACCCATAATTTATCCTGCAGACAGGAACCACACTTGCTGCTAGGCCAGTCTGCCAGATTGACCGCTACATCGTCGGTACAATCATTGGGGTGGTTCACTTCGCCAGCAATTGTTGGGTCTTCATAGGGTCTGACCGATCGATTGGGCCACAATCGTCAAACAGAAAGCTTGGAGTCGCCCTGGGAGTGCCAACAAGACGGATGAATGGCCACGAACTTGCAATTTCATCGAATTAGCTTCTCGAGTCGCCGTTCACGGGGCCAGGGAAAATATATCGGCTCCATATGCTGTAACTGATGTGGGATAAGCTGGCCGTGCCCTTGCTGCGCTGTCTTCACTACCACGGACAAATCTTAAAGAATATCGGCTCCGTATCGCCTTCTGCTTCTGCACGATGTCTATTTGAGGAAGATAGTTCGAGAGCCTTTTATAATCACGCTATAAGCTGTGATCGCTTTGCGTCAGTGCGAATTTCAAATCAGCTTTTGAAGTGGTTGCATCGCGTGCAAGAGAGCTGGCGGTCAATCCGTCAAAGCCCCATCATGGCTGCACACGTAGCAGACTACCAGAACCAATTCGGATCGGCTTCCGCGCTTGTTCTCCCCCCTTTTATCATATGCCGATTTTGCTGGTGACTTGGTGGAGATGGGATGGCGCCAGGATAAAGGGTGGCTGTTATAGGAGGGGTGGAATCTGCCTGCAACTTATATTAATACGACGTAGTGGGCTCAAGGAGAGTGAAAGTGACGGGGACTTCCTGTCTGAAGTCACATTTGATTTCAACTCACTTTCTTTATTTTTCTCGCCTTGGTGATAATTGTGAGCACTTGCCATTCAATGGAGCCTAGACGGGATTTCAAGAGGTGAGTTGAAATGAAATAGAGCAAAAATAAGGTGTTACAAGGTGTTACAAAGGCTGCATTTTGCCTAATTGTTTGCTGAACCTGCCATTTTTTTTTTTTTTTTTTTGCTTCTTATTGACAAGCCACTGACCACCTGCAGCATCATCAATTCAGTCCCTTTTACCTTTCTGGTCGGCCCGAGCCATACGAAGCTCACCATCCAGTCGGGTCTCGCCGGCCATGTCTCTGGGCCCCTGGACCACCTTATGAACAGTGGTCAGACACGGGAGTCCAAGCACCAGATCGCCGTCCTGGAAGATGAGGACGTGGAGACCTTTGTCGCGTTTTGCGAGTATGCGTATACGGGTGACTATGTCGTGCCTCCGCCAGGATGCCGGGAAGATGATAACGAGCAGGATTCGATTAACAACACCTTCAATGGAATGATTACGAAAGACACTGGCACCTCGACCCCAGCAGTTGGTCTGGCAGAGCCGCCACAGCAGCCGGCAGATGTATCAATCGAGCCACATGTGGTACTTCTCAGCCGAAATGACAATGAAGGCGAAGATGCCCGTGAAGGTGAAGAGGAGGTTGGAACCCTAAGCCAACAGCCAGGCCGGACAGAAGGAGAAGCATGGCCTCTCTCAACTCATACTGAGTACCTGGCCCAGGACCCAGCTGCTACGCCTCGAGAGTCTGATCGATCTCCCGCCTCTTCCGCTGACCCCTCCCCTTCCCGTGGGAGAAGACTCCGCAGGCGAAAGACTGATGAACAAGGGTTTATTCAAGACCCGTCGTTTAAACTCACGCCCCCGTGCACACCCCCTGGTGCTGCAAGAGTTGAATCTGCACAGGCGGCAGAACTGCCCTTTGCAGAACCCACCGAGAACCCCCACGCCAGGACCGAGACCGCCGCAGACCAGCCCAACTTTACCATACGGCCAATGGGGCATCCCGAGTCAACCTTCGGCAACGGCGTGAATGAAGGTGGATATGATGGAGATCAGAATCGGCAAGAGGAGGACCCGAGTAGAAGCCGAGTGCAGCCGGTCATAGACACGTCTTTTGCCAATCAGCAGTTCTCTCCTCACCACGAGAAAGGAACAACCACCCTGTGGGATGAATTCACAGTTATTGACGAAACCGATGCTCGCCCCTCACACCAAGCAACAAGATCCTCAAACCCGCCTCCTGGGGTTGCATTGCCCTATCTGATCTTCCACGCTAAGTTGTATGTTTTTGCAACACGCTACTTGATACCAGATCTGGCACATCTATGTTTGCAAAAGCTGCATCACGACCTTCTGAATCTGGCCTTTCCCGACTCAGACCCCGAGAATCAGTACGTGGAGCAGCTTGTTCTGACCACAACCAAGGCTAGGATGGTCGTCGATCTCCTCAGCTATACCTATACGAAAACGACGCGCCTGGAGCCGATAACACCTTCTTCGGCTACTCAGCTCCGGGATAATGAGCTCCGGAGACTTGTTGTGCACTATGCTGCCTGCAAAGTGCGAGACCTTGCAGAGTACTGTCCTCCAACGGAGCCTATCGTAGGGTCCACGTTTTACTCAGAGGCATCAGAGAGACCGTCTGCCCGCGGATTCCGTGCACTTTTGGATACTCTCCCGGAGCTTGCTTCAGATTTGATCTACCGCATGATATAAACAACACACCCCCCCCACACTATCACAAGTACCTTGCGGGAAATGCGTCTGAGATGAAGAATGCGTATTGTTAGGATATTACCACGCTCATGAACTCGAATGATTGATGATTGACAGTGATCTTGAGAGCGCACGGGAATGGAGTGATGGAGTTGCTACGTCAGTTGGTGTCTTTCAAGACTGCGTTTTTTGCCTAATTTGTCCTTGTTTCACTATGATTGATTGTATGCCTGTTAGCTGCTGAATCTGCAATGCATGAATGCTGGTTGAAACCGGTCATTTTTCTTGTTTGCTCCATTTCGGTACATTTAGGAGACTTTTCTTTCTTTTTTTTTAATGATTGCATAAATACCCGTGATCTTCACAGCCCTGGATCAACTGCTCCATTTTCGGTACGTTTAGGAAATGTCTATGATTGCATAAATCGCCATGATCTTCACCAGCCCTGGACTTACGCCAGACCGGTCTCGATTCCTCGCCTGCGCACGTTGTAGTATGGTTGGATCATAGTAACGTATCGTCTGCTTAATGGCGAACAAGTAGCCGATGATCGACTCCCCCATCCACTCAAGGCCATATTGCGCAGATCCTCAGCTGTTGATCAGTGATCATGGTTCATAGCACCAGAAACAGCATTCAGAGCATATAACGTCACATGCCGCAGTACTGCTCCTGCAATAACAGCCTGAATAAGGGTTCTGCAGTGCAGTGTGGAGCTGCGCCTATACAGCAAGGTGCTGACTCCAACATACCCGCAGAAGTAGGCGTGACTAGGTATGAAGCGGACCATGCACGGTATGAAAAAGTTATCCATCAACTCAATGCGAGACATTGGCATGATCTCGGCATCCAGGAAGGTTTCAGAGAATGTGCCTGGTATCAAGTTGGACACCGGCGGAGGCATCGGGTATTCTCTACACCAAACTCCACCACATCAGTGAGATAATCCAACAAGCGCTTCATTCCGCTTCCAGCCACCGATCTGTGATGTTGCGGAACATTTGACTTTATTTCCGGCAAGTGGTGGGGTGTCGCGATTGACTGAAAGTAGGGATATTCTCCGGTTGCTGCACGGTTCTTACTTTGATCGCTCTTTTGACTTCTTCTGGATGGCTAGGGTGATGTCGGGCTTGGCACTGCGTCGCTAACTAAGCTACGAGGTTGCGACCTTGGAAAGAATGCGTGAAGAATGGGACTATGGGGGTAATTGGAGGTATATACCCGCAGCTAGGTTGTGGCTACGATATGGATCATACTATGACAGTCCTTGACATAAATCATTAACATAATGATTTATATGTCAGCGCATATCAGGAGGTGATGTATTCGAGCTCAGCACGTATACTAGACTCCTCTGCCGATTACCCTCAGAAACAGGGTTCTTTGGCCAATAAATTCGTGAGCCATTCTTGGCGGACGATAAATATAGATAAGAACCGCGTCAATTGTGGCTCAGGATGATGCGTTCGGTATCCACAAGGGACGACAAAGCAAGATAACAAGAGCTGCGTAAAGCAAGGTGATACATGCTGCCTAGGCCACAGGATTGATAGAAAGGAGGAACAACAACACAAATAAATCCTCACGTACGCAAACGCCAAGGCTTGGTCTGAAGCTCTCTTGATAAGGGTGCGGCTGTGCATGGAACTGAGCGGATGATTTTCGCTCTGCCAAGCCGGTGCTGGGTTTTGCCCAGGGGAAGGGGTTGATTTCAAAGATATCGTCAAGACCGGGATCCGGGTTCATTAGGGCTATCTACTGGCTCGCCGCGTGTATCCGCGTCGTTCTTGGTCGAAAAATAGAAATTTGTTTGGTTCAACCGCTTCCATCCGAATCTCGAATCGATTCTTCAGATATCTCTTGCTGGTTTTGAAACTCTCTTATCGCCGTTTCATTTTCGGTGCCGACACGCTAAGGGGTTAGGATCATCGACGCAAAGCTTGGCAGTGGAACCCCCGTGGATGATGTGCTGTTGATCTCCGCCTTGGCAGGGTGTGTTGAAGACTAGGAGTGGAAACGGCGTGGAACGGGTGCCGAACGGGACCAAGCAGCGCGACCGGCACACACCTTTAATGCTTTTGCCAGGGGCCGAGCATATGGGCCGTATCGGCAACGCTATTTGATCGGGGGGGAGAACTGAAAGTGGACACCATAAGAGATGCTAGGTTCTTGCCACACCTGCTGCAACTGCACCAAACGATGACATGCTCTACCTGCACATGGGATGGAACTACTGACACAGTCATTTATTAATGTGAATAATGAAGAACATGGGATGATAGGAATGTGCCTGGTGGAGCAAACCCTGAATGTTTTCGTTTTGAAATTTGGAAGCCATCTTAGACCGTCGTCAAGGCTATAGCACAGGCGCCAGAATATTGGTGCCCAGCGAGATGATGCCCTAACCTTCCCCTGATTCTTGATTTGCAATCGAGATACCGAGTTCATTGGATGATGGGTGCCAACTTGCCAAGACACCCGGTTCTTTAGATATCGATATTTGAGGAAGACCGTACCCTGCCACGATCCTTGGCGGACAGGCAACGTTTTACCAAGAACATCAGCCACCCAGCCAGTTTTGAGATACGTGACTCTTGGCAGACTGCTCTTGTGAACGTACATGTATAGAAGATGAGGATAACTCCGAGCGAATCCACTCCACCGTATCATTGGCTTGGAGAGGCTGGGCTGAGGGGCGCCGGCGTAGCAGTTGGACCTGAGAATGAAATAATGCAGGATAACCGCGCGAGACTTTGCAACCAATGAATAGTAGGCGGCTCGAGATGATCCTCGATGCCGAGAGTGGGAGTACGTGGGAGAATAGCGCAGATGAGTGAAGAGTCTGCGAGGAACCAGAGAGGATGAAGCCGCGAGAGCAAGTCCTCAGGCCATGTGACTCCTGTAGCAACACAACCTGCAGAGTCTCTTCTTCGCTCCCACCTCCATCACCTTCTAGATCTCATCGGGCCCTTGAAGTCCCACCACAGTCCTCCGCGAATGGCCGTCGCACTCCGGACCGAGAGAGCACGCAACGAACCAGCCGACGGCTTCGATGTTTCTCGCCCATTCTTTGAAGACAGACAGACTCCGTCGAATCCGGCTCCACACGTTTACCGGAATTGATGCAGTGCCACCTTGATTTTGATTCTGATCCTGCATTATTATTCTGCATTAATTAGACCATTTTCTGCCTGCGACGGTGCTGGATACGTATTGCGTCTCAGCCTCCCACCAGGTACCCGTGAATGATAGTAGCACTCATGCTTCGGCCAACCCCCAAAAAGAAGGCCTGGAAGCGCCCTTTGGCGCAGCGTCCCACTTTAGCTCGCGGTATACTTGGCAAATGGCATCACAGCTTGTTCATTGAGCATCAGCCGCGCAGATCGCAGGTCCACTCTTCCCCTAGGCATCAGAAATTCAAAATTGGCCACCGGCTTTTGCAAAGCTAGATTCTTAATACATGGGACTATTCTCCCATTGTGCAATGCCAAAATGAGCACCGAGTTTGACAGCAGACGTTCTACGAGCAGTTTGGGCCTGCTATATGAAGGAACATCAAGCGAGCTGCTACCATATATCTGGGCTCTTGTAGTTTTGATACTAAAAGTCTTGGACGGAACCCACTATCGATGATGAGCAGGCGCAAAGATACGGCGGCCCAAGTCGAACATCCTATGAGAATTTCGCCTTCAGAAGATCAAGCACAGTGCTTACACCCTCTGGGCTCGGCGTAGCCCTGGTGATTCTTTGGTTTGATCGACGTGCTTGTCCCTGGGCGCTGATGCACGTTGTTGGTGCTTTTCCTACTTTGCCATTTGAAATTTTGTGTCTTTTACCCCTTTGGGTTATTCTAGATTGCGTACTGCTCTCTCCTGTAACATTCCTGCAAGCCCTGTCCCTGCGCCCCCATGTGTCTACGTTGACCTTGCCGACCTGACTCTCTCTTCTACCTTGCCCTGCCTCCAAACCTCAAGTCTCCTTTCATATAAACCTCCTCCATTCGCTTCACCTTTCCCATTCTCGTCATTCATTACAAACAAAAATCTTATTTCTCTTCATAGATCTCAGTTACTCTTATCTTTAGCTTTGTTGCTTGTCTTAGACTGCTTGCCTCTCGTTTGGATTTACCTCGTCAATGCTTCATAGTTTTTTTCCTCCCCAGTCATAATGTTTGAGAACAGCCCTCAGAGCACTTTGTGCCCGCCGACTCCCCGGTCTGAGACATCCACAATCGATATCGAGATGAAGAAGCCTGTCAAAGTGAGCCTCCGCGAGCGTCTGCGCCATTTCACCTGGGCATGGTACACTTTAACCATGAGCACTGGAGGGCTGGCGCTTCTCATTGCCAACCAGCCCTTCCAGTTCGAGGGGCTCCGCGATATCGGTTTGGCTGTATACATCATCGATCTTGTCTTCTTTGCTTTCGTTTGCTCTCTTATGTCACTTCGCTTTATACTTCATGGAGGTCTTCTCGACTCCCTCCGTCATGACAGAGAGGGCTTCTTCTTCCCGACCTTCTGGCTCTCCATCGCGACTATCATCTCCGGCCTTTACAAGTTTTTCGGCGAAGATGCACAGGAATCCTTCCTGCTCGCACTAGAAGCTCTCTTCTGGATCTACTGCGCCTGCACACTCACTCTCGCAGTTGTCCAGTACTACTTTGTCTTCGCAACCCACTCCTACCACCTCCAAACTATGATGCCATCGTGGATTCTTCCCATCTTCCCGGTCATGCTTAGCGGTACTATTGCCTCCGTCATCGCAGAGCAGCAACCCATCCGTTCCTCGATTCCTATGGTCTGCGCCGGTATTACATTCCAAGGTCTTGGTTTCTCTGTCGCCTTTATAATGTACTCCCACTACATCGGACGATTGATGCAATCCGGCCTTCCCAACCGCGAACACAGACCCGGAATGTTCATCTGCGTTGGACCACCGGCTTTCACAGCCCTGGCCCTCGTCGGCATGGCCTCCAGTCTTCCAGACCAGCTAGACCTCCTCCACGACGAAACCGCAGTCCAAGATGCCCGCATAATGACTCTCCTCGCAATATCCGCCGCCGCCTTCCTCTGGGCCTTGAGTCTCTGGTTCTTCTGTATTGCCGTCATCGCCGTCATTCGTGATCCACCCTCCTCCTTCCACCTGAACTGGTGGGCCATGGTCTTCCCCAACACTGGTTTCACACTTGCTACAATTACGTTGGGCGATTGGCTAGGTAGCAAGGGCATCAGCGGCGTCGCGACCGCAATGTCCATTGGCATCATCTGCATGTTCCTCTTCGTCTTGGTCTCAAACGTCCGAGCCGTTATCCGCCAGGATATCATGTACCCAGGCAAGGATGAGGATATTTCTGAATAGATCAAAAATTGATCCGCTCTACCTATCTTCTTCGCTTTTCGACTCTTGCAACTTCCCTTTCTTGCTTGCGTTTATTGCGCCATTCTCGGACCGACTCCTTTTGGCAATTCCATATACTTCCCTTCTGTTGTCTATCATTCTTTAATTCGTCCTTTCTTACGTTTTTTTCCCCACATCCCCCTTACATATCTCCGCCAAGTTTCCCCCACATAGATAAATGTGGACATTTTTGTTTCATCATCTGTCAAATACATTTTTCTGTTCTGTTTGTTTTGGTTGGGTCCGCAGCATCACTGGCGTTGAAAAGGGTACATATGCCATGTTTTTGTTGGGGTTGACTCAGGAATCATTCCAGAGTTCTTCCTGATGATCGGCGTTTGGGTCTGGCTCTATTGTTTCACCTGGGAGGCTGGGACATCTGTGTCTTTGCTGGCTTGTTCTGCTCTCCCCGTGTTGATCAATGTCTCTTGGCGCTTTTGGAATAGACATAGATAGAAAAATAGAGAAACTAGAAAAAAAAAAAAATAAAAGGGAGGCATTTCACTTCCCCCTTTCCTTCCGTTAGCGGCGTTAGGGCTTGGTAGTGGCTGTAGTTTAATCCTGAGTGGGGCGGTGTACGTGTCGTCGGCTCAAACCATTGGCGCCTCTAAAGTCTATTCCGAGCTTATCTTTGGCGTTTCCAACAAAATTACGAAATGAGCTTATTCATACTCCATGTATAAGTGAACTATAGTTACGCATTGCCAAGAACTATGCGATGGAAGGACGACATCCATATCGTTGATTGCCAAGGTCTGATATACATACAAGTGAACCCCTACCGCCCAAGCTCTCGTAGTTTGTAGATGCAACCACACATAAAAGTACATAACTAGTCCCCCTATTTAGGTGACAGCCAAGGGAAAACCCACTGGGCAAAAAACCTTGACCAGGACACAAACGTAAATACAGGAATATCCCCTACCATCCCAAACGTGCCCTCGGATCGCAAAGTGTGTTGTCCGGACTATGAAGTGTATTGTCGAGGCCGTGACCACCACTCAGCACATGTCTTCCTGTGAGTCGATCATCCCTAGCCAGCGACTATGAAACCAAATGCTTCCGGAGCCCAGCGCTGGCATGATGGAGGTGTTTGGACGAGTTGGGTTATCCTCGTCCCTGCGCATCAACGAAGTTAGTATCTAAACAAGCTGCTCTTGAACAAGAGACACTTACATAAGCATGTCCCAATGGGAGCTGGCCCTCGGTGTGAGTGGATTGTTTTTAGCCAGCCTGTCAAACTGATTAATACCTGACTCTGACGCCAACGACCATGGGGAGGTACTTACTAGCACGGTCGCGTCACTGGGCCTACTCACGGTGACGGGCATAAATGCTTGGAGGGGGGGTGAGCAAAGATGTGTTGGGTTATCCACATCCCTTGACATTGATGTTAGTAACCAGCTTGGTATAGAGAAGCTGTACCCACAGGAGCATGTCCCAATGGGAGCTGGCCCGCGGTGTGAGTGGATTGTTTTTAGCCAGCCTGTCAAACTGATTAGTACTTGACTCGAATGCCAATGACCACGGGGAGGTACTTACTAGCACGGTCGCGTCACTGGGCGGACTCACGGTGCCAAGGCATAATGCTCGCTCGGAGGGCGTACCTATTAGCCCGTTATCTAGACATCACAGGTTGTCAAGCAAAAGACAACAGCGACAACAGACAACAGCGACAACGGGGGACAGCGATGACGGGGGACAGTGACGATGGGGTTACATGATAATAGGAAGGAGAAAAATGGCTGCAAAGCCAGTCACAACGCAGGGGTGTGTGTGCAAGTACAATATGTGGTGGAAGCAGTCATGGGCATGTGACAGGGGGGATAACGACGGGAGGGTGAGGTGAAGGCAGTACAAAGACAGAGATGTGTGGGCAGCAGCAAGGACGATGACATGAGCTCATAAAAGCCAAGGGTGATCATACAAACAAGGGGCAGATCATGAGAGGGCAGACTGGGTTGAAGTGGGAAGGTGCATAGTAAAAGGGCAACAGAGGGGCAGCAGGGAGTTGTAGGAGGAAAGAAATGAGAAGAACAGAACGGGGGAAAGAGCAGGTTTAAGTACTCGCCTTTGGCCCTCGCCACTGCGTGATCTCGGAGCGTGAAGAGAGCGATAACGCCGAAAGGCCATACAGGAAGGAGCCCCCCAGGGCCGTTCCTTCCTGTTTGGGAACAATTGGGGCCCGTATTGTGACGGTGATACCGGTGGTAGCGCGGAATTATGGTGTACCATGGATAGGGTTCGAGCTTCCGGAGCTCTTGCAGGCCGGGATCTCGATGAGATTCGCCTCATAATCTCAATTGGCTATCTATGTGGCGTTGAGATGAGCTGAGGGTTACGCACAAAAGCTAATCCAGACCAGTCGTCTTTAGAAGAATCAAAAAGAAGCATAGAGCAAGAGATCGAACACTGGCAAGAGGAAGAGAACATTTTATTGAACGGGGTTATATACAGGAACGTCAGCGGGTAGGGCGTCTCAAGCGTCTTAACCCAAACTGTCAAAACATTGGACAAAACACGGTGGGTATCATATAAATGTAGCAATAGAGAAGCTAGTTATGAAAGCCGAGCTCTGTAAAAAAGTCTTGTCTCGAATCATCAATGGGATGAGATCGACCCACCAACTGCTCCATGTCGGCCTCGTCCAGGTATACATTGCTCCGTGCCTATATGATAAGTCTTGAACAGTGGTACAGCCTGACCTGAGGCAACAGAAGACACCAGTATTACTGGCGCATCGTATTCGAGAACCAATCCGACGGAGTTGACCGGGCGTTAACGGGTGTAGATTGCGTAAATCCGTAAGTGCTGGCGAGTGGAAGGTGCCACCTCCCTCCCCACCAATTGAGATGTCCATCGCCGGAGGCCCCAATTCCAACGACGGAGATAGGCATACCTACCTCGAATGTAACGAGCGAAAGCTGAGTGGTCAATCGGTGCCGTAAGGTTCAATCGTTTAAGTCGGTTGTCGGAACGGGCTGCGGCCAAGGGAAAGAGCAGCCGGTCACCGGTGGCTTGACTGTATGGCGGTATGATCAAGCGACCTTACGTCCAACGTTACCAATACCTCGTCCAACGACGCTGATTATAACGTCGTTGCTATCGTCACCAGCGTCTCGTAGCCCCCAGCCTGGGGCACCGAACTTCGACAGATCTCGGGCAAGTTGAATTGAACTTTCGTCTCCGATAATGTCACGACCGACCTGAATACGCCCAACATCCTCAGAACCCATAGTCATCAAACCGATCATGGTCGAGAAAGCCGCGGGAGCGACACATCCGCCTTTCGAGATCTCCTCAAGCAACTGGTATGCACATTGCTTCCCAATGTCCTCAGGTGGTTGACCACCACTGGGGGGAGATGCCACATCGGCGGAGAACAAACAGCCAGTCGAAGATTCTGCGACCAGGGACAAGCCAAATCCGAGTCCAATCTTTTTCTTGGCTGACGGGTTGTTCCTTTCCGGTGCAGGAACAAGCGGAGCAGACGAGACATCCGAGAAAATATAGGTATCGGGGACAAGTGGGTTGAGGATGCCACGAGTAACATCGATCATTCTCGAATTATTTGAGGCAGAAACACCAACGGAATATGCCACGCCGCGGACCTTCTTGATCCTACCAGCATTCATCAAATGCAGAGTCTTAGGCAACCGAACTTGGTGGCCGAAAACCAATTGAACCTCTCCACCACCTCCTCTTCCGTTAGGGCCTGGGTTTGATCGTCGGAGCACACGCAATTCTATGTTGTTGAAAATACCGAACTGATTGAAAAGCGGCAAAATGGCGGTCCGAACGCTGTCCACAGACATATCACCGGTCGGTGTTGAGGAAGTAATCACTCCGGGTCCGGTGAAGAGAACCTTTATTGGAGCTTTGGAGAATGGCGCCATGAGGCATAGCGGGATGAGAAAATAGCTCACGCCGCGAGTACACCCAGCTGGGATCTCATGTCGAATCACAGTACCACCGGTGCCACTTCCAGTAATAAGACCAGGTTTGTAGACAAGGATCGTACCAGTGTACGAGATTTCCATTTGCGAGCCATTTGTAACACCTTCGAGAAGACGAAGGAATGAGATTTCATGCGGTGCAAGACCGGGGTTGGTAGGAGAGGAAGGACGAATTTGCGAGATATGAACGGTTCGGCCAGTTAATGTCGAGAAAACAAGGCGATGCACGAAGTTTTTGTGCGAGGTGAGTCGGATTGGAGGTTGCGAGGTCGCCATAGTCGCAATATCGAAAATATTTACCCTGTGGCCTCGGTTTATCTGCGCTTCTTAGCTGTCAGTCGATGAACCCAGAAAAACGAAATTCAAGAAAATCTTCTGGGGCAAAGTTTTTCCGACCCGCCTCCGGACATAAGATCGGACTATCTCCGGCAGCGATAAGAACCCGGGACGGGAAAGTGACTCGTGAGCAACTGATGAGCAACAGCACGATATGTTTTTACTGCGATTGAGGAATCAGAACTCTAAGCTAACAGTCCGGTCGTGAAGCAGAAAGACAATGCTAGCACCGGCCCTCAACATCCCAAAATGGTATGTCCCATTCTAACCTCATTCCCAATCCCATGTCTTTCCGCGATCTGCCTACGTACCCCCGCCCCCGCGCATGCATGCATAATGTTGAAAAACGCCAGACTTGTCTAACTAACCACACAACTCTGCAGGCTTGAAGCCAATTCCCACCTCCTCCAACCACCTGTCAACAACTACTGCATCTACCATCCCTCCTCCCCCTCCACATCCGGCTACACGGTAATGATCGTCGGCGGCCCCAATGCCCGAACAGACTACCACATAAACTCGACACCGGAATTCTTCTACCAATACCGGGGATCGATGCTTCTCAAGACAGTGGACACATCTGTTTCGCCGCCTGCATTCCAGGACATTCCTATCCATGAGGGCTCGGTATTCCTGCTGCCCGCGAACACGCCGCACTGCCCGGTGCGGTTTGCGGATACGGTTGGGGTTGTGATGGAGCAGCCGAGAGCTGAGGGGGCGGAGGATGTGCTGCGATGGTATTGTCGCGGGTGTGGAGAGGTTGTGTGGGAGAAGAGGTTTATTTGTACAGATTTGGGGACGCAGGTGAAGGAGGGTGTGATGGAGTTTGCCGGGGACGAGGAGAAGAAGAGGTGTAAGGCTTGTGGGTTGGTTGCGGAGTCCAAGTACGCGGATGGGGAGGTTGTTCAGCCTCCTAGGTTTCCGGAGTAGGTCTGTTGAGCTCGGAAGGTTGAGACGAAACGAGGCACGACATTTGATGTAAGCTATGTATTTGGGGGGTTGAGCGAACTGCTGTACGTCATGTAAAATTCAGAGGTAGAGTCCCAATTAGCGAATTATTGTGCCAGCGGCTATACTATCGGAAAGAAAGAAAATGGGCCATCGTAGGGCTTTATCAAAAGAGGAGGAAAATAGAACAAGAATGGGGACCCGGGTAGACGAGCACGCCATGATTCAAATAACGAAATCGACGAGGGTAGACAATGACCTCAGTAGTAAAAGAAAACATTCGACTATTAACACAGGACCATCCAAGCGGCCGAACGCGAATTGCAGTGCAAAATTGCTTCATCTGGTATATGGAACTGGAGAGCAAAGCAAAAACCAAACAATACAGGGGTATGGGTTTGGTCATCCGAGCCAACTAAGGAATCAAGAAAGCAGCATGCACAAGGCACAATTATAAGTGAGGTATAAGAAGATAACGAACCCGCTAAATCCAGTTTGAAGGGTAACCATGTCATGTCACAGAAGCGAAGAACGTTATTCAAGACCATGTCGCTGTGTCTCATACATGGACGTCCGAACGGCGAACGTAAATTAATCGTCAAACGGGCAATCTATGCTCTCATGTCCGTCCCGCTCGCAGAGCGCGCACCACTTGGACTCGTCGAGTACACCACTGGCTTTTCCTGCAACAGGAGCCATGGATGACGTGAGTCCCACTCCGCGGAGACCCTCGAGGACCGCATCACGGCCGGTCTTCTGGGGGGTGGTGTTTTGGCTGTGGTTTGACGGTGGAGATACTTTAGGCGCAGGCGGTCCGGTGGACTGCTCGTCATCAGAAAGTTCTTTGTGTAGAGGTTGCTCCGTATCAGTGGGTTTATTATTCTTGGCTTCTGCTCCGAACATATTCGTGCAGCTCAGAATATCGTGACCACCGGTCTCACAGATCTCACACCACAAGGAACCGCCATCCTCTGAACGGGTATCAGATTCGTGCATTGTCTCCAAGCGGGCAGACGTGTCTGAGGCACCACGGCGGTGGGAGGGGTAGGACGAGTAAGTCCCCTCCTGCGGAGGCTCATCTTGCCAATCACTCGGAACAACAGTTCGATCAGACAACCGATGGGCATGGTTTGCGGTATGCCCGTTACTGATTTTGCCTGTTGAGCCGGATGGTTTGTGCTGGGAACTTGACTGTTTAATAGTGGAACTGCGGGCCCGACCCTCACCGGTCGTTTGGGATTGCTGCAACTCGCGCTCAAGCTCCTCGATACGGTATGTTTTGTTTTCGTTAACGCGTTCGTATTCTTGAACCCGCTGCTCTAGGTCAGCCACATAATCTGCATTGTGGTCTGCTCGAGAGCCCGTCCCAAACCCATTCTGCTGCAGTGCATGCAAGTCAGGGTCACCTCTGCTCAGGGAATGGATAATCGCTTTCAACCCGCGGATTTCATCGTCCTTCTGCTCGAGCTCCCGTGATTGTCCATCGGGACTCATATGATTCTCCCGAGGCCCGCCAGAGCCGTCCCGCTCCTTTTTCAACTCCAGTTTTGTTCGTTCAACTTCACCACGTAGGAACTCCACTTCTGCTCTGGCCTCGGCCTCTCCACGGCGTGCATCCTCTAGGCCTTCCTCAAGCTCGGAGACAAGCTCTTCTAGCTGCTTGAGTTGTCTTGCAACAGCCTCCACGTCCTCGCCGCGGTCCAGTAATTCCTTGTTCTGTTGCATGAGCTCTTCAACCCGCTGCTCATAGACGCGCTCAGTTTCCGAAGCTGCTACTTCCAATGTATCAAGCGTGCTCCTGAAGTCGGCGCGGTGCATATCGAACTCCATAGTCAACTGGGCTATGCGGTCGTTCTTCTCTCGTAGCTGGGAACGGATTGACAATGCATCCGATCCCTCAAACTCTTCCAGCATTCTCTGAAAATCCCCCAGTGTATTTGCTTGTTCTTCCAGCTGCTTGTCGCGATCCAAGAGCTGCTTCTCTAAGCCCTTGACCTGCTCCTTCAGGTCCGATACCTCCGGACCCATAGAGTTGATCCCGAACTCCGAGGTCCTGGCCGAGGACGGGCCATCTTCGATACTAAACCGGGATGGCGGGCGATCGGATGCGCGAGAGGCAGCTTTGACGGGGCTTCGAGCGTAGCCGTTGGAGCTAGCGGCGGGTTTCGATACTGTTTTCGATGCCCCAGAGGGAGTCCGCAGCCCTGACAGACTCAATTTTGGCGTCGTGGCCACTCGTGGGGATTCCGGCCTGGGAAGGGAGGGACGCCTCATTTGAGGCGGGCGAGGTACAGAGGGGCTAGGGCCGACAGACTTGCTAAAGTTGACCGGACGCGAAGGGGTTGCGGGAGTATTGGAGGCCGAACGTTTGGTGACGTATTTGTTGTTGTTGAGGGGCACGAAAATGCCTGAACCTGCTGTAGCGGTCGCGAAATACTTCTTTCCATCCACATCGCCGCTGTTTTTCCCTCGCTTGGCGTGCTCCGGAGCAAGCTCGATGCCCGCAAACCTGCCCGGTTTTCCGGAGACGACTCCCATAAATTTAACGGTGCCGTGCATCCCACCTGGGACGTTCACGGCGTCGCCGACCTGAATTTCATCCAACGGTGCCATCGCGAGTGACAACTGCGAAGGAATCGGGGGGTGAAAGAGAAACCTTTGCCGGGAGGGGCAGGGAGGGTATTGAAATAGGGAGAGGAAACAAGAGGGGAGCGAAGGAAGGAAGAGCACGAAAGGAGAGGGAAAGAAAAGGGATGGTCAAGAAAGTGGAGGCAGCACCCAGTGGCTGATCAACGACAAGTCATTCTGGAGCTGGAGGCTGAATGGGCAGGCGGAGAAATTGAAAGCTTCAACGGTGCCCAACAGGCGTAAACAAGAGCGCAGGCAGCGAGAGCCAGGAGGCGAAAACGCAGGGGACTGAAACTCAAGGGAAGATTAACTGAACGAGACTGGGGTGTCGTCATGCGCGTCCGCCAGTCCTCGCTATGTATCTCGTGCTACTGCTAGGCTAGGGACCGGCTCTCCAGACTGCGCGATCCAATTCCTCCCGGCGATTGGTTTGTTTTCTGCGTTGTCTTGAATGTTTTTCAGGAGTCTTGATCAACGCACGAACCATGGTTACTCCGTCTCCCCGCAGTCAGGAACTGTCACCACTCACAGCGCCAGTCACCACCGGTTCGTTGTGTCGTTGAGGAAGCTTGCGCCACGGGCTGAACCAAACCCTGCTCTCAGTCCTTGCTGACAAGACCGTGCTCCAGCGAAAGCTTTGAGTTTCTGTCAATCACGATTCGCGGCCGCCCGGTCTGGCTCCATCATGGCGGCGAGGCCCCAGAAGCCCAGATACCCGAGATTCCGATCTTCTCTACCACTGCAGCGGTAAATTGAAATGGGGATTCCTCGAGGCTAATTTTATTCTTTCGCCGAGTATCGCTCTGCGCTCATCGTCGATCAAACCCCGAGAATAACTACAGATAACTAACAAGTATTCTCGACTCACAGTGCCGACGCTGTGAACTACCTAATAAGGAAATCGGCCAATTGACCGCAATAACTGCCTTTTCATCCGACAGTGTAAATCACTTAAATATACTCTGTAGCTATTAATCACCTGTTCAGCTGTGCTCTGTGACTAGCTCCAGCAGTCTTCTTTCCATTCGAAGTACAGACTATGGCCGTCTGAAGTGCAGATAAGACGTCATGATGTCAATTCTAGACAAGTGAAAAACTGGGAGATTCTGCATCGTCCGGATGTAAAACATGATGTCTCCATCAATGGGAGACTCGTGAATGAAACAGAGATGGCAAGCCACTTGGAGCTTGGGGCCAGGTGTTGTCTGCCCAGGCGCGTCAGCCTCTCCGCCTTCTCTTCCGCCCGTCCCGTTGTTGGAGCATCCACGATCCCCTTCAAGTGGAGCCCAGCTGCAACTGTCCTCCTTTCTCATCGACTTGAGAATCTCAGCATACTTTTTGGACTGCGGTCAATTGTTTTCGCATTTAAATCGCGCTGCGAGGTGCTTTGCTGACCCGTCCTGCGATACCTCCATCATGGCGCAATACTTCTTTGACCTCCTCTACAACTTTACGGATTGCATGTGCTGCTTCCCCAGCTCACCGCAGCTGAAGATTAATAGCCGCAGCTTCAAATTGCTCCGGCTCTTGGGTGAGGTATGTGGTTTATCGTTTGCAATTTTCGTGGGTTTCCGGCTGACCATGAGTCCGCATCTTGATAGGGAGGCTTTTCCTACGTATACCTCGTCCAAGACAAGTCCACATCAGAACTATTCGCCCTCAAGAAGATCCGATGTCCATTCGGCCAGGAATCCGTGTCGCAGGCGCTGAAGGAGGTAGAGGCTTATAATCTTTTCGCATCGGAGAGGAATGTCATCCATTCGATCGACCACTGCGTTTCAACAGAATCAGGCTCGAAATTTCGTAATGACGGTGGAGAGGCGGGTTCCAAGACAGTCTACATTCTTCTACCTTACTACCAACGAGGGAACCTACAGGATGCCGTCAACGCAAATCTTGTCAACCATACGCGATTTCCGGAGAAGCGCCTCATGGTGCTCATGCTGGGGGTTGCCCAGGCGCTACGCGCAATGCACCAATACCGCGTCAAGAGTGGCTCTGCGCCGACACGCAAGGCCAAGGCTGTGAGAAGGGAGGGTGAAGAAGCTGATGCAGACACTGGAATGAGGATGGGGAAGGCAAAGCGGCGCGCTAGCCAACATGGTGGTGAGGAGGATTCAGAAAACGAGCCGCTGATGGACGATGAGGTCACTCAAAGCCAGGAAGGCGTTGAAGATGGAGACCTACGCCCCTATGCGCACCGAGACATTAAACCTGGTATGGCAAACCGCTACACGCTTGTTCTTTTCTCTCTCTCTCTCTCTCTCTCTCTCTCTCTCTTACTTTCTTTCTTTCTTTCTTTTTTTTTTTTTTTAAAAAAAAATACTGACCACCTCAGGCAATATCATGATAGATGACGACGGACAAAACCCCATCCTGATGGATCTCGGATCGCTCGCACCCAGTCCCATCGCAATTACATCCCGCTCGCTCGCATTGGCAGTCCAAGATACTGCTGCGGAACACAGCACAATGCCATATCGAGCACCGGAACTTTTCGACGTCAAGACAGGGTCCATTATCGATACCAAAGTGGATATCTGGTCCTTGGGATGCACGCTCTACGCCTGCCTAGTGGGAAAGAGCCCATTTGAAGCCCGGAGTGAAGAGACTGGTGGTAGCTTGAGCATGTGTGTCCTGGGTGGTGACTGGAGGTTCCCAGACGAAAAGTCAACAGCAACGAAAGGCAAGGGCAAAGCCGGGGAGGAATCTAAGCCAGATAGCTCTGCCTCCATTAGCGCACCTATCAAGGACGTCGTTCGCCGGTGCCTGCAGGTTGAGCCTGCCGATCGTCCTGACATTGACGAGCTGATCCAGCTACTTAAAAAGGTCATTCGAGAGCTACCGGATGATGATGTAGTGGGCTGAGATGATCATTATATCTGGCGCTAGTTTTGCTCTTCTGTTACAATTCTTGCATGACCTTTTCAGCCTTTTAGATAACCTGTTATACTGTTTGTGGTTATTAAATTGTACAATACCTCGACCCTGAACATATTGCTTACCCATGGATTTATGCTTTGACTATGCCAGTCCTGGATTTTGAGACTGGCTCTATGTCGTAGACAGCCAATGCCCCAGACTGACGGAGAAGATAACCACCTCGGCTTCTCCAACTCCAATCTCATCAGTGCACTGACAACACTCTTCTAGGCGGAAACGGGAAGTTCTATCCTGCCCCCTCCTAGATAGCAGCAGCTGCTGATCCAATTACTCCAACTCCACGGCCCACCCTGTTGCTTGAATATCAAGAAGGATGCTGCTCATTGCTTCATCCCCCGATAAATGCGGGGAAGTTGAACGAGAGGAAGCAATTCCGCGTCTTATCAACGGCAAATGCCATCTTCATAAACGAGACTGGAAAACAATTAACGAGTGGCGTCACATTGGACAGGAAACCCTTCTTTTCTATTTGATAATTACCGAGATATGACTGCAGATGAATTGGAGATGCCCGCCTTCTCCCTTGGACATAGCAAACTGACGCCCTCGAAGCTTATCGGAGAATAAGCATGCGGCGCGCCTTGCCTACATATTGAGTTCGACCTCCTCCCTTCTGGACTGTCCCTCGTCAATCCGATTAAGTTTACCATCGATTATTACGCTGCTGTCTGCCCTCCATGACGCCGTCTACTAATCAAGACGCCATCCCCGGCACATTCGTTCTCGTGGACGAGGACCGCGTCCTTTCGACTCGCCATCTTGACTCCGGAGATAGCGACATCGTTTTGGTTCCCGAACCTTCAAATGATCCAGATGATCCTCTGAATTGGTCGCGGCGCCGGAAGCTTCTGTCTACAATATGCGTTAGCGTGTGAGTCTCCTTGGCAGGTGATTGATATCAAAGCAGAATTTAATTGTTTCCCTCCAACTCCTAGGTATACCCTGTTCGCGGGCATTGCTTGCGCAAACGTTTACTCTGTCCTGGTTCAACTTTCTGAAGAAACTAGTGTCTCTGTTCATACACTAAATGAGGGAACGGGCTATATGTTCCTGCTGGCCGGCTGGGGTCTTCTGTTTTGGCAGCCATTTGCCCTTCAATACGGGAAGCGGATGACGTATATGATCTCGCTTGTGGGGATGGTGGTAAGTCATTTGTTACGGTATCTGGTATGTCAACCGGCTATTTTGGTCTAATATCAGCGTAAACAGGGAACTAGTGTCTGGAGGTATGCTCAGGTTGAGCCGTCGTTGAATGCTACTGATATAGGACAGCCCTTTCGTGAAAAATAACGGTGAATGGATAGCTCGAAGTATCGTTATGGGCTTCTTTCTGGCTCCAATCGAGGCGTTGCCAGAAGTCACCGTCACCGATGTGGTGTGTATTACGACACTCTTAATTCTAGGGCTAGCTGACCATTAGTAGTACTTCACCCATGAACGGGGACTGTACATGAGCCTGTACGCACTCTTCCTCGCAGGAAGTAACTATTTTGCCCCTGTTATATGCGGGTTTATTGCCGAATATCACGGTTGGGAATGGGTATTTTACTGGCCGGCCATATTCTGTGGCGCATCTATCGTTTTTCTTTTCTTCCTCATGGAGGAAACAAACTACGAACGAGAGAAACCCAACTCACCTAACGTTCCAATGGATATGTTTACATCGACAGAGAACGAGAAAAGGGAGAAAAAGGCTCTGCCAACTGAACCATCGAGCCAGGGTGATCCAGAAATCGGTGCCATATACAACAAGAAGACGTATCTACAGAAACTCTCGATCCTAGGACCTCGCCGGTCGAGGAACAATATGCTTCGTCGGGCCTGGCAAACTGTTTATTATTTGAGCTGGCCAGTGATATTCTATGCGGGGTGGGTTGATAGTCACTATTCAAGAGCAAGGGAAACTAACCCTCATGCTCGTCGCTTAGGTTCTCATACGGGTCATACCTGATATGGTTCAATGTCTTGAACGGAACTGCATCTATAGTACTGGGATCCGCTCCTTATAACTTCAGGTAATGCATTTAATCAGCCAGATATGGAATATCTGCTAACATGAGCAGCTCATCTATGGTCGGTCTTAGCTATCTTGCCTGTTGCCTTGGTGTCATTCTTGGGTAAGTAACCTCGAAGCTCTGCCTTCAAGCTCTAGGTGCTGAATGCAATAGCTCTCTTTTTACCGGTCGTTTCAGCGACTGGCTCACTATTAGACTTGCTCGCCGCAATGGAGGGATAATGGAAGCCGAACAACGTCTCTGGCCGTTTGGTCTTTGTCTTATCATCGTCCCCGGTTCGTTAATCCTATGGGGAGTAGGCGCTGCCCACGGCATCCACTGGTTTGGCCTTTTAGTTGCCATGTGCCTCCTTGCAATGGCAAACACTTGCGGTGTAACCTTGAGTGTGAACTACCTTGTCGATAGCTACCGTGAGCTAAGCGGCGATGCTATGGCGACTGTAATCCTTGTTCGCAATACGATGTCCTTTGCAATAGGTTACGGGTAAGCTTTCAGGACAACAACGCTATTAGAGGATGTTGCTAATTAGATGGATAGAATCACGCCCTGGGTAGAGGGGTTAGGATACCAGAACTGCTTTATTTTTGCAGCGTTTATCGGGCTGGCATGCTCTCTTGTCTTCCTGGTTATGGTAAAGTGGGGGAAGAATTTCCGGGTGCATAGTCAAACGAAATACTGGAGAATTGTTGCAGAGAACTGGGAGAAGGGGATGGGACATTAAGGTGGGCAGTAAAGTGAGCAGTAAGGTAGACAATGGGCATTCTTCGTTGGAGAACAATTTTTATTCAACGTAAATGATGGCATGAAGATATGGCCAGATAGCTTAGGGTGAGCCAGATTTCATGGGCCGGTTTCCTAGATAAGCGAACACATCGAGAGCGGAGATAACGGTGGGGATGCTTTCTGGAAAATGCGCCTTCCTAATACGTCGGGACTGAGGCTATACGAGTCCCCTCTATGGACCGATTTAGGTAGGCACTCTTGTCTGAATAAAGCTCTTATGCAGGCAAAGGTGCAGGGCCTCCCGCATAAAGAGATGAACAACCTTCACCGATAATAAATAACTTGGTTCGTGAACACCGTCGAGTCGGTCGACAATCACCTCCGAAGCCATGGCCCTTATCTCGCAGCGCACAATTTGGGGGCCAAAATAGACAGTTTGAGATGTCTCAGACTTACAACCAGGTCAGGAAATGAACACAGAGATCGAAAACGCCATTGAACGGATTGAGGCGCTTCTCCGGCTGGTCGCGTTAGAATGAATGTCAGCAGTCTGGACTCCCCACCAACAGCATCAAAGATCCCAGCCGTCATCCCAGCTGAATCCTGGACTGAGCCCCTTTGGGAAACCGCTGGGAATACGCCATCGCTGCAATTTGCCAATTTCTTGTTAGTTTCTTGTCTTCCAGCCTTATAATTCTGGCTCCTTGGCGGCGCTTCCTGTCATCATGAATGGACCGAACAGCTGGCACAGCGCATCCTCCCACGGACCATCCGTTGCATAGCCACCGGACTGCACTTTATTAAACATTTATCGTCCCCCTGTCGTTCCTTCAAACGTGCATGTGTTTCGCAAGCGATTGAACTCTTAAAATCATGGTTGGCGTACCAGGACGATCAAAAGCGTGTGTGACATGCTTGAAGCGGAAAAAAAGAGTATACCAGATCCCATCTTCACACAACACCATGAGATCTAACGGTTCATACAGTGCGACCTGGAGAAACCGTTTTGTGGCACATGTCGCAAAGCCCGCGTCGAGTGCGCGGGATACTTCCGTCCCCGCATATTTATCAATAACACTGCCGAGAACAACAACAGCCAGCAACTCGTCAAGAAAGGCCGAATCCGAAGCAATGGGGGAGATGTTGCTCTGCCTCGCGAGCTAGCACGAAGTGCTTACCAAACCAAGTATATAGACCTGTTTTGGCGGCTGTACTTTCCCAATGGCCACCCGTCCCCTACCGTGGTGAACGCCACAGCAGGCGGGTGGGTTGACGCAACCCAGGACCTGTACATCTCTGAGAGTGTATTGAAAAAGACAATCCTGGCCTTGGCTATCTCTGGCGTGGGGAGGCAGGAGGATGATAAGTCTTTACGAGAGGAGGGCAGTAAGCTCTACGCAAACTCGTTGCAGGAACTTACAGTGGCGTTGAAGGATCCGCGGAGGGGATTGAGCGATGCTATCTTTACGGCGGTTAGATTAGCGGGGTTTTATGAGGTGAATATCCTACTGAATGGTCAGGCGGCAGCTCTGACTCTCCGTTATTTAGTCTGTTTATGGCACGAACGATCGTGAAATCAGGCAGGCCCGGGGTTGGCAAGCACACAGCGCTGGCGTCATTGCGCTTCTCGTAATGCGGACTCCATACGCATTTATATCGGGCCATTCTCACAGGCTATTCACGGATGGACGAGCGCATCTGGTAGGATTTGGGCTTGTCATGCTCCCAAGATATATCGACTAATGTCTTCTTCAGATAATGTCCTGCCTCAGAGGCAGGAAGAGGTGCGTCCTCGCCGAACCAGAGTGGAAGATGATACCATGGCTCCAGCAAGAAAAGTCTCCCAGGGACTATCTTTTGGACATTATTGCTGAACTTTCTGGAATCTTTGAGGACCTGGACGTGATGAAGACTTGCGATAACCCATTCGAAAAGGAACGCCTCAAACAACAAGTCATCGATAGCCTGCTGCAAATGCAGCAAGACCTGGCAACCTGGCAGGCTTTACATGCTCCAGACTATGAGATACCCACAAAAGTACCGGAGGAGGTATCGCCACAGCAGGTTATAGGGTGTCATCTCATGACTTCCTTCTGGGCCACTGTGATCGTTGTCGTGAACAACTTTCAAACCCTATGGGAGCCGGCGCGGGAGATTGATCCCATTTTTGACCTCGATATCTGCTGCGGAAATATAATTAGGTCATTCTATATCATAATCCATCCGGCCATGGGCATATTCCGCACTCACCTCACCACCTATCCGATGACCGTTGCCATTTACTATATCCGCGAGGTAGGCCCGCAGCGATTAGTCGAGGAACGACGGATCCTCGCGGACTGCCTTTGCGATCCTGCCATTGCGCATGTGCGACAGTTTATCAACAGTATGGCTGACGACATGCCGTTTGAATTTTTGAACTAGATGCCAGATACCCCAGTTTATGTACACTCAGTCCAATATGCCAATTAATCAACAAGATAAATGCTTCCTTCTGAATCATACCCGATCTCCCTAGCCTTCACATTCCTCAAATGGCTCACACCCCCAGAAAGCTCACAATCATGATAGAAAAGCCACCATCTCCCCTCAAACTCCACGATGGAATGGTGCGTCGTCCACCCCAGCACCGGCTCCAGAATCCTTCCCCGGTACGTAAATGGACCTAACGGCGAGTCCCCAACTGCATAAACCAGGTAGTGTGTATCTCCCGTCGAATACGAGAAGTAGTATTTCCCGTTATACTTGTGCATCCACGCGGCCTCGAAGAACCGCCTGTCATGGTCGTCCGCCGCAATGGGGACACCAGATTCATCTAGAATCTGCAGTTCACGGACTGGCGATGCGAAGCTCAGCATGTCTTCTGATAGTCTCGCGACACGAGGGAATAATGCCGGTACTCCATCCCCTGTTGGCTCTTTCCCATCTTTATCAAACACCCATTCCTCACCACCAGCCTGAGAAGACTTGGCCCAGCACTGCAACTGCCCACCCCACAGGCCCCCAAAATACACATACGCCGCCTTCCCATCTCCATCTCCATAATTATCTCCACTGCCGGTAGCATCCTCAACAAAAACCGCCGGATCAATACTATAACTCCCCTCCCAAAACGCCCTTTCAGGCACGAACGGCCCCTCGGGACTCTCCCCAACCGCAACCCCAATCCTGAACAGGCCCTCATGATCCCGTGCAGGAAACACAAGGTAAAATTTGCCATTTCGCTCTGCGGCATCGGGGGCCCAGAGCTGTTTCGACGCCCAGGGGACGTCGGGCGTGGAGAGGACGGTGCCGTGGTCTGTCACGGCGACATCTTCGTCTGACGATGCAGTAAGAGAGGGAAGGGAGAAGACGTGATAGTCGGCCATGTCGTACTGGTCGCCATTGTCGTTTGAAGAGGTGGCAGTGTCGCGGTCGTGCGAGGGGTAGATGTAGAGTCTGTTGTTGAAGACGTGGGCCGACGGGTCGGCTGTGTAGAGGTGGGTTATTAGGGGTTTGGGGGCCATTGTGATATGATAGAAGAAAGTAAGTGGATTGATATAGAGTTTGTTGTTATCGTGTGTGATTTTGAGTGTTCGAGGTCTTTCTTTATTTATATGGACATCGCCGACTTGGTGCACTTAAAGGGTGATTTATCCGCCGGCTAAAAGGACGCTTCTTGGAGATGACCCCGCGGATGCTCGATGGAGGGGCAGAATAGTTCCATGTCGTCTATTATGGCTAAATGAGTCGCGAGCAGCAGATATCCTAAAGGGGCACGGAGCTAGTCCAGATGTGCTCAATCAGCCTGATGGTTGAAGTTATGCCCGATCGAACAATGCGTCTCCAGTCCAGACTGCCTAAATACTATGCACATGGGCAACACGCGTTGATAATAAATATTATATTATCTTGTATTTACGACTTCAAACCCAGGCCGCGCAATTCCCCCAACACTCTCGACACCTCGCCCGATTCTCAGCCCTAGACCCTCTTAACCTATCCTCCCAGTCCTTCTCAACCTGCTCACGTATGCTCTCCTCCTCGCCATCGCGTTTCTCCCTAGCTGGGCTCTCACAACCCCTCAGCCCAATAAACTGTCCAAACCGCCTCCTCTTTACACTCGTGGCGACCCCCAAGTTCCTCACGAACCCGTTCGTAGCTAACCACGGCTTAATGGGTTTCGGGTAAAGGAATGTTGCCTGATTCGGCGGATATACCTGGTCAAAGTGCAGAGCTAGGGCATCCAGCTCTACAGACGTGAGAAGCTTAAACGAAAGCATTGATTTCGGAAAGTAAGGGTGCGGCATCCCCGACAGGCAATGGACTAATGGTGCGAGCTTCCTGGAGAGGAGGTAGGTCATGTAGTGGAAGTTGGGGTGGATTCTTCTTGTAAGCGAGTGTGTGGCTCGATTGGCCTCCTTGGTTTGGAGTTGCGGCAATTTGAGTGTGATGCCTTCCTGGCGGAACTGTGCCTGGACTTGTTGGGCTAGTTGTCGGTGATGGCGACGACGGAGTCGGAGACGAAGACGTTGCTCTCTTTCATATCGGGTTTGTTGTTCCATGCGAGGCTGCTGATTCTGAGTGCGATATGAGAGACGTTGTGCTGCTGCTTCAAGGCGCGCATGGTTTTGGGCGATTAGTTCTCGTTGTTCCTGCGCTGTGCGCATTTTTTGGAATATATGTGAGTACCTGCTCTGGTCGTGCTCTGTTTGTTGCCGCAGCGCATATTGCTGTTGCTGCTGAATTTGTTCAACCTCTCTGCTGTAGCCATCTTGTAGTTGGATTTGTTGTTCGACCTGTCCAGGGTGAACTGGTGATTCCCATGAGTGTCCGGACCTTAATTCGAAGACGCCTAGAGTTGGGAGCTCTGGATCCTGTGCGGGATGGTGGGTATAAGGACATGGTGATAATCCGGGAGTATCGCTGTTATTCTCCATGATAAGCTAGGGTTAGCTCTGTGCATCAATATACAGTATAGAAGAGGCCTGAACAGCAAAAGCTAAGTCTTTAAGATGGGGAAAGGATAAACAAAATATGATTGAATGTAAATTCGACGGTCGGGTCTCTATGTAAATTATATCAAGAGCGTGGGACGAGTAGAGCCAAAACAATCCGTCTTTGTGCCGAGTGTCAGAACATAATGCAAGCGTCGTGACAATGGAACCAGATCTTTAAGTCCAAAAATTATGCGCACAGAAACCACGAAGAATCGGACAAAGACATAAAACACGGATCAAATTCTCCGTTGTTGCCAAAATAGATCGATACAACAGGCCCTCTGCTAAAATAAGGTCGTGGTAAAATGTTAGTTATAAATTCTTGAGACTCAGTTTTGAGCGAGTTTCGACATGTTCATGAAAGACTGAAGTCCCCTAGTTGTTTCTGCAGTGCCTCTGTGTTCTTCCTTTCGCTACCCGCAAACTGTTGATAACGCTCGGATGCTGCTCGCAGACCAACATGCTTGTTGATCCAGTTGAAAATTGTATAGTGCCACATGAGCGCATTCTCGGGATTCAGTACCCAGTGGTTCTCATCTGGGAAGGTCAAGAACGCACTGTCGATTCCCTTCATCTGCAATACGTTGAATGCGGACAGTCCCTCGGCTATCGTCAAGCGATAATCCTTTTCGTTATGGATGATCAGGTGCGGCGTCTGCCACTTGTCAAGGTGACGCGAAGGATCCCACTGTGCCCAGTTTTCGGGTACCTTCCATTGCACGCCATTGAGGTCGTGCAGAGGAAAGTATAGCTCCTCGGTAGCAAGCAAGGATGTTGTGCTAAAAACACCATCGTGCGTGACAAGAGCTTTAAAACGCCGACCGAGTGGCTGACCTTGGATCCAGTTCATCATGTATCCTCCGTAAGACGCCCCCAAAGCCACGGCGCGCGACGTGTCAACATAATCCAGATTCTTCTCAATGTAGTCAAAACCCTTCTCAAGATCAATGTACGGCAGCCCGCCCCAGGACCCACGGATTGCATCGGTAAAGTCCTGTCCGTAGCCGGTGCTGCCTCGCGGGTTAGGTGTTATGACAACATACCCCTGCTCGGCAAAAACAGCGGGATTCCATCTCGTACTCCATTGATCATTCCATGCTCCTTGTGGGCCACCATGCACCAAGAATGCCAGAGGGTACTTATTTCCCGGTTCAAATTTAGAAGGCTTTACCACCCAGGCGTGGACCGGGGTGTCCTCAGCTCCTCTGTACCATATTTCATCAACCTGGGTTGAAGAGAGACCGAAAGTAGCCCCATTATGACCAATGGATGAGATGACGCGAACGTCGGCAGGGTTTTCCGGGTCAACAATTGACCAAATGCTATTGTCCAGCAGATTATTACTAGAAATGAGGAGCTTGGAGGATTTGGATGTAGCAGGGTGGACCTCTGTCACGTAACCGGAATGGGTGATTTTCTTGAGCAGGTCAGGAGTTGAGTGGCGGATGTTGGCTATTGGCAGCTGGTAAAGCACTCCACGGCCATATTCCTCTACTTGGATATATAGCGACTTGTCGTCATTAGAGAAACTTAAGCCTGACGGGCTCAAATTCCAGAGTCCCTTGCCATCTGGAGATGAGAATGCTTCTATCATCTCGCCGTTCCAAGGGTTGGGAACGTAGAGAATCCGATTCTTATCAGACTCATACCCGTCCTTGCGCATTGCTAGGACAGCGATGGAGCCACCATCTGACGAAAGAACAGGAGATGACATGGCGCCCTCGAGACCTCCAACTCGGTATATCTTGCTCTCCGCAGCACTAACACTGGTCCATGAGAACATTGGACAATAATAGCACGAGCCTGTCGTATGTAGAGCGGGATTAACCTCAGGAGACCGTGCCACGAAGACAATCGCCGAGGGACTAATGTCGAAGTCACCTCCACCACCGAATGGTGGGATTGGCGATTCTACACCTGTAAGTCCACAGATCGCGATCAAGTTAGTGATTCCCGAGATAGAGTACCTCCCCGCCTGTCGAGTAGCGGGGGCCAAAGGAGCACGCTGGAGCAAGCCATAGAAAATTGCATTCGTCTGGGGTTCAACGTACGAGTCCCAATGCCGCACAAAAAGAGAGGTATACAGCTTGCCGGTGCTGTGGGGCGTTTTGGCATCCTGCGGGTTATACAGAGATCCATCCGGGTTGGCCTTGCCAGAGACAGCGAAGCCAATTTTCCCCGACTCAACAATGGTGACTTTCAAGTCCGAAACTGGCCCTGGTACTGTTCCCGCAGTATAGGTCCTGTCCGCCAGCCGAGCATCCCCAATTATCAAGCTTGTGTTTCCATTGCCTTTTGTCTTCAGCCAGATCAACTGATCAGTGTTCTCGATCCATTGTGGGGAACTGGCGCCTGGATCATTCGTGATGAGAGCAGACCGGCCGGTCGTAAGATCTAGCACACGAATCTCATTTGTCTTAGTATGAGACTCGAACGAGTATGTTGTTTGACTGTAGACGGCGAGAGTTCCAGTCGAATTGGGCACGGCGCCCGACCGTCGAGGTGCTCCTAGAAGTACCCTGGGGGTGAATCAGCTAACGCCTTCACTTGCGCCTCCGTAGAGGATGAACAACATGGCAGAGGTTTGTTTCCAAAGAACTACACCGTATAGCTTCGCGTATACCTATTGCCATTCTAGAAGAAGAGAGCAACTTACTCTGGTGTGAATTTCATGGATCGAATCGTCATGTCCAGCTCCGCAGGGGACGATAAGCTCGTTGATAAGGTAGCTCCGGGGAGCAAGGTTGGGCGATAGAAGGGTAATACCGAGGAACGTTATTTATTGTGAGATACAATCAGCGCGTACGAGCTCCAGAGAACAGTCAAATAAAATGAGGATATTGATGGCAGATGGATGGTAGTGGATGATGACTCGGTGAGGGGAGAAGAGGAGGTGAGGAGGTGAAGGGACGGTGGGGAGCTGGAGGAGAAGGATCGACGACGTTGCGTCAACAGCGTCTTTGCATGTCCAGCATTCCAGACGACCACACATTAACTCTCCTTAAGGAATCCAAGTACTGATGAATGTCATTTAGATTGGCATAAGTCTAATCATTCATATAATTACAGTACTTTATTTAGTACAACTTCAAACCCCAATAAACAAAAAGGGCTCCTGAAAAACATCGTGCAGATCACTCGTCCTCCTCGCTCTCATCCTCTTCCATGCCCTCAGCAGCTGTGACCGTGAATGTTGGAGCTTGGTCCACACCAACATAGCTGTCACACATCAGGTATAGCGTCAGCTCATGCTCACCAGGCGTGGGCACGGTATAGTCCAGACGGAGCTCCAACTTGCGACCAATGGTGACTCGCTTGATCGCAAGCAGACTCTTTGTTTTCTCGTCGCCAACGACCAACCACCAGTTTTCCATCTTTTGGTTGGGGTAGAATGGTGCGTGGACCGTTGCGTCGACTTCCTCCTCCTCCTCCACCTCGCGCTCGACCTTGATCTTAAGGTACGAAGGCTCGCCGGCGGTGATGTTCTCCGGGTCCTCGACTTCGAAATCAAGTTCGAGAATGGGGTATTTGTTGTTGGTAAACGCGGCTGCCTGTGCGAGCTGTTTGTTGTCGAGGCTGAGACGCTTAACCAAGGTAGCATAGTCCTTGTTTTCGGACGGGTCCATGGCTTCCATGAACTCGAAGATGTCATTGATCCTAGTTACGGACACGAGGTTAGAACCGGTATTGCTAGAAGGGGTAGTGTGTACATACTTATACTCGTTGGCAACCTTGATGACATCAGGGCTGAAATGAGGAATTTGCTTGAGGGGACTGTCACGATCCCACATAGCCTGAACCACCATCTGTGACATCTCCATGGCGTTCATGGCGTTCATATGGCCTTCCGAAGCGAGAATGTCCACGCAAGCGCTGAGAAGGTTAAGGACTCTGCTAACAATAACTTCTTGATCCTTAGCCAAATCGATAGGCAGCTGCATGCGCGAGAAATGGGCCTGGAGGAGGACAAAGGATTTGAAATGTGGTGAGTCGTAGGCAGCTTGCGACATCTTGACCGGAATGCGGTCGTACACCCGGCGGAGGATGTGATCCTCGTGGCGCCGCATTTGGACGGATTCGAACTCCGTCGCCGAAGTGACAATCTCCAGGATACCCTTGAGCTTCGTTCGCGCTGACAAAGAAAGGAGGAAAGTCTGCATGGTGATATACGAGATATTGTAGTAAGCACCAATGGACGCAGCATTCAGAGGCGAAACAGTGTCATCCTCTTCGTCCAAATCAATGATCTTGGCTTCAGACAGTTCCTTCAGCGTGTTTTCTACCAGCTCCGACAAGAATGTACTAAGCCCTTCATGGCTGACATCCGTGAGACCGTAGAAGCTCGGGTTGGCCAGAAGACGTCGGTAGAAATATGTGTACGTCATCCAGTCAACAGAATCTTGAGTGGATGCAATTGTTCCCTGGCTGATCTCAGTGACAAACGCATCATGCATGTAGAGCTGCAAGTGACTCTCCACCGGCAACGCCTCATTGAGGAATTTCTTGTAGTATTCACGCTTGACCGTGGGGACCATAAGAACACCGCGGCCAATCTTATCCTGGCCGGGTCGAGAAGCTTTGCCAAACATTTGCAGAATTTCGCTGATGGGGTAGTCAATATATCGGTGCTCTCGGCCCTCAAAGAATTGGGTTCCCATAACTACCACCAAGTGTGCGGTGAGGTTAAGTTCCCAACAGACATCACGCGAGGCAATGACCACTTGGATCGCGCCAATGTTGTAAAGATGAGAAACGATACGCTTATCGGTCTGACTCAAAGCCTCGTGATAATATCCGATACCATGCGAAAGCGATTCGGCCAGTGTACGTTCCTGGACACGGCTGAGCAGGGGACGCAGCTCTTCGACGTCAGCATTGAGGAACCGGTCTTCGTCGTCATCAATGCTACAAGCGGTTAAGAGATCTATAGCGGTTGACCGGGTTTGCTTTCGGTTGGGCACAAAGATCAGGGCGGGCTTGTCAGCAGACAGCTGGAGAATCGAAAGATACGCCGGCCTTGCCATGGCTAACATCATCGAAGGGAAATGGGGT